AAAACACAAATGATTTTATTTTTTACTTATAAAAATGTATTAGATATTAATTATAAACTATTGGTGACCGTGCAGTATTTAAAGTGGAGAGCTGCTACGTTGTTTTATGATAAATTTTAATGGCACAAATCAAGCTGAAAAAATATGAAGTTCTGATAAATTTTTAACAATCATAACATTGTGAGAAACATACATTAGAAATACAATAAATATGTAAGAAATTTGAAGCGAAAATATCAGCTTTTTGTGCCATTAAATTGTGATGTTTGTACCGAAGGCGCAAAACCAACACATATCACGATGACAATAAAGAACCAAATTTTCAAAGTAAGAACAGCGTCGAGGTATGTTGTAACGAGCAAACTTTAAGGCAGATTCTGCACCAATACTGTTCGGTGCCGTCAAGGGACTATCTATATATACTTCGGTATATAATGATTTCGCTGATAGTGTAAAACACTGTACATTGTTTAACAAGCCACATAGTGTAAATAAGTCTCAAGCACTATCGGCAATCATGTTTTTTTATTTGAAATATTAATATATTTGCGTGGCGAGCGACCTATGCCAGATCTATGAATGAGACAACGGTTATTGTACTTATGAATATTAATTGTGAAGGTATAAATAATGTATGTTCGGCTCAAATTTGATGAGGTGCCGATATTTAAGCAATGTTACTCAAGTTATCTCGAAACGGACAAGAGGGTTTATTAGTTAACGCGCGTTTTGTGCAAAAATACTATTTACCTAAAGTAAACAGAAGTTCCGATGTTCATTTTGTATGTGCGTTACCTAATAGACCAATGATGATATGTGTAAGAGATGATAATTTATTAGGATTCCAATTACACGACATTATGCATAGATAAAGTTTGGACGTTAGACCCCATTTGCAAATATTTGTAATTGCACATCATCCGCGGCTCTAACGCCTATCTCAACGCAATAGTCGTAGCCATAAAATAGGTAGTTTTACTATTAATCAATGAATTTTTATATACTTTAAAATAACATTTATATGGTTACTATTTTAATGATTTTTTGTTTATTTTAGTTTTCGCAATAATTTGTTTAACTTGCTTACGAAGTGGTAACTTTAGTTATCATAGTTTAATTTAATCAAATTCAATATGATCAAATTCGTTATTAAACATGGTCGTTTAAAAATATAATCATTAAAGAACATAAATAAACCTATTACATAATTAATAAAAACATATCTTATAGCTATTGCTACTGTTTTGAGTGAGGCGATAGGGCAACCGTTCCGTGTTGTCATTAGAAGTCGGTTTGCCCATATATTGCTACTGAAATATTCACCCCAGGAGCAATAGATATCAAAGTATACGAAGAGTAGAGTCAGATAAATGGTCTACCACACTACGGTTAAAGTTCATCCGAAGCCATTGCCTAAAACAACAAGTACCATTCGTCCTATAATAACATTGACTGTTACGTCAAACTTCTAATACGACATACAATAGGTCATATTTGAAAATCTAAATAAAATTGAAAATCACGGAAGAAGTCCCGCGGTATAAGTATTATTCCTTTGTCATAAAAGCGACAAAATTATGATCCGAGGAACTTCTTTCATAAGACGAACGCTAAAATTCGCTAAAAAAGTCAACCTTCGCGATAATTTGATCTTTTATCAATAGTGATAGACCACTTTCTTACCAGACTTGGCTTTCGTACAAATCGACAATCTAGATTATTTGCATGAGATGGATGTATACGTACATAGAAAATGTATAAAGTTTCATTTCCATCATCTCTGTAATCGTTGACGCGACTTATTATCTACGAAGAATGTTTGTTTTGCATTGTAGAACATAATACATAGATATATATGGTTCCCAGGGGAAATTCTACAGAAGCAATAGTTAGGCCAACCGTTAGCAGTTAGTTAACAGTAGACCGATTGATGTAACTTCATGTACTAAATCATTGGTGTGAAATAGATTATAAAACTATGATAGGATTTCGCGAACTGCCACTTAAATCTTAAACTAACCTGAAAAGTTATTACCGATAATTTTGAAGACTTAACATACCTAATGGTTGTTTATAAGTAACTTTACATTGTACCGCTACAAAGTACCAAATTGGTGTTGACTAATCACTATTCCTATTTCTCTTATCAATATAAGTTTTCCCTCTGAACTAGAGACAAACTGTCTGATCGATGCGAAACGTAACGCTAATTGAAAAGTAATTAAAAATTTAAAGGTATGTTATACCATTGGTCAATCTCATATTTACATGAATGGTACCTGAGAAAAGTACTGTTGATCAGATACATGACCTTTAATAACTACAAGAAGGTACTTACGTATAAAATCAGAAATAATGTACATAATTAACGATAGACCGATTCGGTCCGATTAGACTTACGAGGCGTGATCAAATAATAAAAACTCTGACAGAGCTTAATTTTCGTAGAGTCCACTAGTAGTATCAAAAGTCCTCCTAGATCCTATGTGTACAAAAAAATCAAGGTCAGTTATTTGGATTTTTCTCAAAAAAGTTTTATAAAATATATAGCCTAGACAAAAGTAGTAGCGTATAAAATTATCTGAAAATGTCTTCATATTTTTTATGAATTTTTGTAAGATATCGCCACTAATAATCGTCTAAAATTTGAAGCACTTTAACTTTTACGAATGGCGATATCATATAATAGTGCTGCTTAGAAAAAAATATATATGGACCATTAACGTAATTTTATGTCTAAATTTTTTATCAGGGCTACATTTTTGATAAAATAAATCTCGGATGCGGTAATTTGAGAAAAAACCATAAAATTGAAAATTTTTACCTTTTTACCTAGTTTCTTTTCTCACTCATGGAATCTGCGGGGACTTTAGGCACTTCTTTTCTACCGGTAAAGCCAGCGTATCTACCAAAATTCAGTTTTGTCGGAAATCTTGTTTGAAATGTCATTTATTTAACGAACTAGTTAGTTTTGGGTGATAAATACGAGTACATACTTTATTTAGGATTTTATACTTGTAGTGAGAAAAAAGGTTACCACCGATGTGACGCCAGAAAACTTTTATCGGGTATCATCCAGCTTTAGTCTTTGATCTATAAGCCCGATTTACACTTGAATAAGGTCTTATTGTCATTTAAAAGAATAAGTAATACTTAACTCACCAGAAAGACAGATTTACTCGCCACTGTATATACTTATTGAAGTGTACTTCAATCGAGCTTTAGGTTAGTAAATATTGTGATTGACATAACAACAGTATAAAAAGCATCATATCTTTATGGCTTAACGTTAAGTGGGCATTAACGTTCAATAGAATAGAAAGTTTGTCGCTTGTCTAGAGGACCAGCGGCTCTACCACGTAACTGCATGCCCTAATTGATCTGTCAAAATGAAGTTGATCTGACTGCCTGGCAGACCATTGAATGCTTTTGACAAATTAATTAGGACATCAGTTACGCGGTAGAGCCACAGGGACTAGACCGCCCAACTTAAAACCTTAGTCAAACGGTTTTAAGAACATTTCATTGTTTTTGTCATATTATTTGATGTGATATATTTTTTAATTAACCCTTCCAAACAATAAAGTAACTTTTGTTGCTATAATTTTCAATCATCTTTCAATTTACATGTGATTCCCAAAACCAATAATAAGAACCCGTTTATTAAACCAAAGAAAAAAATAATTTTATAAAATTAACATGATTATGCATTCATAAAAACAGTAAAATGTTCTTAATTATAGCTATGATTTCGACTATGGCTCTAATTTAGGCGGCAGGCCCCAGGTATGTCTATTCGTCCAAACATTTCAACGCAGTACCAAATGCTTCGATGAGTATTCGATATTCCCGTGGTATGTCTGGAGCTTTTTCCACATTTATACTTGAGTTAACAGTGCTATGCTGTAAGAATGTTTTCTTTTTCATATCAGTTGTAAACTTGAGAGTTGTATAAATGATTCAATAAAGTAAAATCGATGTTTCATTTTAATCTTACCGACAGACTTCCCTTATATATAGAAAAAAAAATAAGTTTAATAATTATAAGCTGGAAACTCGCACACGATTTCATTTCCACGTTAAAAGTTTTATTTGTAGAAGCTCCAAATTTAAAGAAATTTTACAAGTCATTCTTCGCATATGTTCACTGTTGTTCTACATCTAAAATGTTTACAGCACAGAAATAATGTTTTGTTTATTGCAAAGTTTGTCGCAAATTTAACTATCAGATAGGTACATAATTCTGACGCTACATTTAAAACGTCAAGATGAACGCGATTTATTTGACTGAACAAAAAATTGGCCAATATTGAATATGTTCAGCCAGAGTTTGAGCTGTAGCTACGGTGTTCCTCAGGAGAGTAACCTTGACCCAACACTTTTTATTTTATATCAATGAATTGTGTAATCTGAAGCTCACTGGCGCAGAGTTGTTAATGTTTGCAGATGATACTGCAATTATATTTTATGCACCTACATGGATTACTGTCCAGCACTTTACTGAGATGGGCATATGTGTTGTCTCTTCTTGGCTAGAGGATAATCTTCTGTCTCTCAACACTAATAAGACTAAGTATCTTTGTTTTAGTATGAATAAAACCTGTTGCCCGAAGGAAACTTTTAAGATTGGCATCCATACATTTCCATGCAACCGTTCCCACAATAATAATACTGTTGAATGCAGTTGCACTACCTTAAATAGAGAAAATCAGATAAAGTATCTCGGCGTTATGATAGACGATAAACTTAGGTGGGATTTGCATATCGCGTTGGTGACTTCGAGATTGAGAAAGTTATTTTTCGCTTTCAATAATTTGAGAACTATAGCTGATCAAGCATTGCTTATACATACCTATAAGGTTTTCGGTGAATGTCTTCTCTCATATTGTATATGTGCCTGGGGTGGTGCAGCTTCCACTCTTTTATCTTAGCTTGAAAGAGCCCAAAGAGCAGTTCTTAAAATAATTTTATTCCTCCTAAGACTGCATCCTACTGCTTTGGTCTATGACATGGCTTAGGTGTTAACGGTTCGCAAGATTTTTGTTGATAGATGTTTAAGAGATTCTATAATATAATTGAACCAAAACTAAAAATAAATGTAATAACTATAAATTGAAATAAAATATCTTCGGTTATCTGTTGTCGGTAAGTAGGGAAGTAGAAACATTTTTGAAACCAGTACGTTAACTATTTATAATTATTTTAACACACACACACGTAAACACACACACATAGTATGCACGAAAGTTTGTAACATATTTCTTTTTTTATTCCTTATGATATTCCAACTTGTTTGTACTTAGCACCTATCTTAATATTGAAATGTCATTGGGGAGATACTGGCTTCTATAATACATGTAAAACTAGCTTAGAAGTCAGGGCCTCAAATATTTATGTAACCGTTATTTGTACAAAAATAAAGGAATTATTATATTATATGTATGTATGGTCGATGATATTTAAAACTTAAATTTGTTAATTTTGCATCAACAAATAAAAATTAAGTGCTTTTCGTTGGTAAACGTTTTTATATACAGATTCCAACGTTTATTATAAGGAAAATAGACACGAATTACACAAACAAAATTACTGACTCTTAAAGTTATTTCATAGCATTCTGAATAAAATTTTAGGGGATATACGAACTCATACGGAAAATTCAAGATGTTTTGTTTTTGAAATGAAATCAAGTTCACATGAAAGATACTTTTAGTGCAAAATTCATATAGGCATCCAATGATAATTTGCAAAAGTGGCAATAAGGCCGACGAAAGAATGATAGAACTGATATGAACTAAAACCATAAAAATAATATCCTAAATAGGGTTACAGCCTAAAACTATGATTATAAATAATAAGCCGTTATTTTGTTTTAATTCACTTTATTCACTGAAATTGACGAAGAGCTTACAAAAATAATGTAACAGGTGCCAATTTAATACATTAATTTAAAAACGCAGCATTGCTTATATATTGTACGTACATATTTATATTGTTAAATCGACACCCGGTTACAATAAATATAATTTTCACTCTAAAGTTATAAATATATATATATCATATTGTTGTAAACTACTATTCAACAACAGCGATAGAATTAATGTCGTGTCGTGTGAATTAAAAGCGAATAAGAAAAAACAAATAAATAAGAAATGAACGTTTTCTAAAAAGGATTCTTTGATTAGATATCAATATTAAGTAACCCCCCCCCCCCCTCCTCTCATGGTTCCCATTTCCATTTTAACGATAAAAACGTCATAAAATTTCCCGTAACATATAAATAATACTTTTTAAACGTTAGTTCCAGACAGTGCGATCCTATATATGTTATAGCATACCTACATAAAAAATGTCATCATAGACCAAGACGATTGTTCTAAAACAAAACACTGGATATACCATTTTTATTAAAACTCTACTCTCGTATGTTTGATGATGATGTGCAACCACACCTGGATCAAACTAGCTTTTCTGTATATACCTATTTAAAATAAAAAAGTCCAAAACCATAAAATTTGCTATAAAAATGGACCTATTAAAAACACTATTTAATTTGTCGTTTTAAATGTTTTATTTTGTAACAGCCTCAATATGGGAATGAAGGAAAATCCAAAATTAAACAATCCGGTCACTGGTTAACCGAATTATACACATTGAATACAAGTAATGATAACTTTCAACTCAAAACTTTTTATTATCTAGCGATCTGTCAATACGTTCAACATCTGTATCACATTTAATTGGGTCCTGGTCATTTACAGCGATTTATAGTTTGGCTATTCCCAATATGGGTTACTCATGCATAAAACATAATACAATTTAAAATTGAGTGCAAACAAAAATTGAGATGCAAATGCATCTACAAAGTAAATTACTTTAAAGAATGTTTTTTGATGTAAAGTTGAATGAAATGTTATAAACAATTTGTAATTAAAAATACTGTGTTTTCTTGAACTAAGTAATTATGTTTCTAATAGTTAATCTACCGAGTAACTTTAAGTCCTGTTAGATCTGTCAAAATGAAGCCCTGAATTCGAATTATCTGTTAGCCTGAAAGATCATTTGGGGCTTCATTTAGACACATAAATCAGGGCTTGAAGTTACGCTGGAATTAGATTAAGTTACAATATGTGAACATGTGACAGTTTCGTCTAGCTATATAGATTAGTGTTCCTACATAGTAAATAAAATGACATTCTAGAGGACTTGCACCATATCGTAAGAGTATAGAAACCTATTTTTCGTTTATTTATATGATGATACTTTATTAATTACCAACTTCTCACACAGTGCTAAACTAGTATTGAAAAGCACTTTTGAAAATATGAAATTTAAATATATATTATTAGAACTAAAAAGAGTCGCAAATTACATATTTACATCTTAGTATGTACAAGGAACGTTTCTTAGAGAAACTTTACTATAGCTTAATAAACACGGTAACCAGATGTATAACTCGCATGCTAAATGAGAGTTGCATAGAATAATAAATTTATATTATGTCAAAATTTAATAAATTAGTAGAACACTGCAAAATAGTCTCTTCTGACTAATATCTTCTGAGAATAAATTATAATTGCACGTGAACGACAAAAAATAAACCACGGCTTACTTTGACTTTGCTTTTTCTGTAATTCTTTAAGTTTTTAATCTCCAATGTCAGAATATGTAACAAGACGGCATCATTACGACAAATCGAAAATACATCCCAAAGCTAGACAAATAATGTATCCAAATGTTAATTGTAGATTTTATTGAATTAATTCTGTACCAACGCAAACCCAAGCTATTTTAAATCAATTTTAAGTAATTACGATGTATCGCTATAGTATTTAATTTACGTATAACATACGCTACGTTGTACACATAAAAAAAACAACCTTATTGTAATAAAACCAATTCAACGTTTCCTCAGAAAAATTCAACAAAGTTTCAAGCCTTAGCTAGTTCTTCTGAAATTTCACAATTTATTTTAAAATTGTAACAGATAAAACTTTACACAACATATAATTGAAGTAACTCAACTCTCAAGCATCGTGATGAGAATTGAGTTCACTATTTTAAAGTATACTATATTTTTTCGATGTAAATCTAAAACATTATACAACTAACCAATTTTAATCGTGTCTGCAAACATATCTATAGTCTGTGTTAGTTTTAAATCAATCAAAATATTAGGCAATGCGACTAAGTATTCTAAAAACTTTCTAAATCAATAATTAAATAAAACTTATGTGTGTCTATTTATTTGAAACATACCTCAGGTCATAATCATAAGAGTAAGTTGTACTCTATGGTCAAAGAAAAACGATTTGTTGATAATGAACTTTCTCACTATAATTACAAGGATGCTTTCATCGGACGCAGCTCGAAAGTGGCGGCTAAGGCGAGATGATCAGACCCGTACACGTCGTTGGGTAATGTTCCCAGCACTACGCATTCTTCAGCCGTGGGTAAACGCAGACGTTCTACTAATTTCAAACTGCTACAAGTACTGGAAAACAAGAATTAAAAATACTCAATTTAAATGACTAAAATGCAATTAAAATTGAATTAGATTTTAAATGAATTCTATGATATGAATACATAAATAAATATATAAATATAAATAAATACAGTTATTGTTATTGCTGTCAATAGATGAATATTATTAATGAAGTAAACTGTAAATTACGTTTATGACCCCTACCTATTAATGTCTCAAATCCCAAAAAAAGTCAATCTATCCTACCTATATACCTATCAATCTAATAGTATCCTTCATATTAGTAAATCTTAAGTTTTGTTAAGTTTGGTTAATAAATGTTAGCAATGAAAATAAAACAATGATTAATTCTTGATCTTATTTTTCTATTACATATCACTCCAAGTGTTACGTTATATGAATTATCATTATAATGATATATTAAACCGTCATTGTCTTTCATTAGAATATATCAATATAGCATAAATCAATTGTTTATCTCATAATATACCTATTTAATAATTGTGAGTTATATTTCTCTGAAAATAATGGAAACCTAACCAGCAGAATTATTAATGCATGCAATTCATATTGTATGTTTGTAGTTATCTATCAACATTTCCTATGTCCATGAGGAAAAACACCGAGTGTATGATGATAAAAGTTAGAATTTAACAACGGCCTTAAAACAGTTCACACTTTTACCTTTAAATGTTGATAAATCTAAGGTATTACAGAAAAAATATTAAGATTTACCGAACTTCTTTTACAGTAACATATATAGAAAAGTATATTTATGTCTCTCATATTCAATAAGTAGGTCTTTATTACCCCCAGAGCGCGTACATCTAACGATCATACTGATAATAGACATCATGCATTCAGCCCAATGACCTCTTCGCTATTCAGCCTTGTCTCAGTATGAGTATAATAGTCATAAATTTTAAATATCGAAAGGCGAAATTCAATTTAGTTCTTTAAAAAAAGTTATTTAAGTGGTTTTATTTAATGAAAAAAAGGAGAATAGAAAACTTTTACTTTAAATATTGTTTGTTTTTGGGATTTTTTTATAATCACGTGCTAATCAGGAAAAAACATGAGTTGTTCAAGTGATGAAGATATAAGCTGCACTCCCGATTTAATGAAAATGGAAGCTGAAGCAGCAATTAACAATATTTTGCCTGAAACTTCTAAGAGAGATACTTAAACTAATAAAATGTTTATTTTTGTAATGCCGGCTTTTTTCTACTTAACTCACTATCGAGATGTAAGCAGAGTAGTTAGCTCGGGTGTAAGCATCAATTGCACCCTCGAACTATAATGCTATGCCTTACAGCCCTTGACTACTAATCTACTATTATTTATTTTTTCTTCACATCACAAAGAAAATCGTTATTTTACGACGACAAAAGTTACTTTATACCTCGGAAAAATACATTATTTATTTCTTTGAGCCGCAGTTAACAATTACCAAAGACTCTACGGAAAAGGCAAAGGCCAATCATAGGATAGGTGACTGTATTACCTCGAACTCATTCGCAATTCAGGTTCTGAATAAAACGTTAAACGTCTCGGTTGCATGTCGTCAACACCCTACTATCAAACCGCACAGAGCCCCTGCGAAGAGTTAAAATAGCTCTCACGCACTTATTGATTCTAGCCATAAGGAAAGCCTGACACATAGTAATAAGAATACTAATGTTATGTTGATAAATATAAAGTCGTAAATAATACCTAAAGTATATGTAGTCAACGGTGACCCAGTATTCTTGGAAAGTGGACGCCTCCATGGCGCCGTCAGGTTTCCGCTTTTCATAAACGGACTGCAACTGGAGGGAATGTCCTACTACGCCGCTGTTGAATAACTCGTTGTAGTCACAGCCCGGTGGATCAGATTCGGTAACGGCACACGTCGACGACTCGGGATATACTCCACGGTAATCAGAGTTGAATATCTTCAAAGAAACCAGCGTTGAATGCATGTTAAATAAATATTCATATTAAAGGAAAAAATTCGAGTCTCGACAAATCCTGACTGCGCTTAACTCTTGCCGGGTGTGAGTAAGGCTACCTATTACATCTTAAAAAATATAGTTTCAATAAACAATTCAATCGTATTTTTAATGAAACATAAACATACGATAAATTTTTTTATTGAGTCTTATTGAGTCGGAATCGCTGATTCCGACTCAATAAGAATCGCAAACGAAGATTCACTATCCATATCGTTGGTCGAATCTTACTGAACAAACATGTAATATGCAAGATATTTTTAGCAGAAAAATACCCAATAATTGTAAAGTTGTGACGTCATAGCCATAAGATAACACTATTATTTCTTAACCGGTATTTTAACACGATTGTTATCGTTAAAGTTAGTTGGCGCAACTAACCTTTACAAGTACTGGTGAAAACTGAGTATAATATCTTAATTATAAAATTTGTTTTTTATAATTATAAACTCGACTACGTGAAAACAAAAGAAAGAAGTGAAAAAATATATAATTACTTTCAGTAAAAACTTAAAAAAGAACATGCTCAGTTCTAGAATGTTATTAAGTACAAATGAATAACTGCTCTATAGAAATAGTTTAAAAAATTCACGCAGTCGGGTTTATTTGTTTTTTATAATACAATTTTTATTTTTATAGTTTTTAGTTAGTTCGCTTTGACTTCGTTATTAGAACTTTAAGACGGTAAAATTTCGCAACTTTATCATTTCATTGAGAGAGTTTATATCGTGAAGATTATCAAGCAACTTGAGGTGGTCAACTACTAATAATTAGTCCCTCTAGAGACCTCACTCGGCTCATTGCTACATATGCTTGACCTTTAGCAAAAATTCGGACACAGCTCGGTCCAAAGTAGTTTTCTATATCTAAAAATAGTCTTCATACACTTCTAATATTTTTTGAGGACCTATCCAACAATATCCCACACTATAGGGAAATCGAAAAAATTAAAAATTTTCCCCACTTTACATGTAGGCGAGATACGATAAAAAAGAATTTTGATTACTGTTAAGTGTTTAGTGACACTCGAAAGGTTAAGACAAATCGATTGACGTATAAATCATCAAAATTGGCCAAGCCGTTTGGTCTCTACAATGCCATATAAGAACAAACATACATGCATACATTACCCTCCTTTGCGTTGCATATTCGGGTAAAAAAGGACTATTTTATTTTATACACTGTCCAAACATATCACAACCATCCTACATCTTAAAATTATTAAAGGGAAATATCAAATCAAATTAAAAAAAAACTGAATTTAAATGGAAATCAATCAAATTACAAAAGTGCTGTTTTAACGTAATATATTCTCTTAAAATGCAAATATTAAAATATAAGTAATGTATCTAATGTGGGAGAGAACTCTCACAAACGGGACAAGCTAATTTGTCCAATTTTAAAGTCTATCACTACCCATTTCAATTTGAGATATGAAAGATATTAACAAACTTCACACCACAACCGTTTAACTTGTGTTGGCGATTGCTATCTGCAATCTTTCGACGGGTTATACTCCATTCATTATAACATTAGAAAAAAGAGGGTCACAGTGGCAGCAGTGCAGAACATTTTATTTTCAAGATAAATTTTAAAAATATACATAATAGTTTTGTTGACACTTTGATCGCTAGGTAATGTTTGAAAGAGTTGGGCAATTTTCCATTTTCTTTTGCGATGAGGCTAGAATATTCTAAATTCATCTTTTACTCCCAAGCCAATATGGAACTATAACTATGTATCTGTCGTTTTAATAAAATTCTAATTGTAAATGTATAATTAGAATAGAATTTAGATAGATATATTTATGCCCAGGAAAGAAAGGTAAACAAAATGAAATTTTTATTATTACTTTTATAACATTTATTCAGATATTATTAGATTTTTGATTAAGATATTGGAAAAACTTCCTGAAATGTAAGAGGTAATTGTTGTAGGCCATTCGGACCTGCACCGGAATCGTCCATATTTAGCAAAACTTAACTACAAAAAGATAACAACTAAAACAAAACTATAAGAGAACAAAAAAAAATACAATAACAACTCAATCACGGAATACCTACGGTAAAACAACAATAAAGGCAATAACATTCACAATTAATGAGAATCCCAGATTACATATTTTGACTATTATGAATACATCATAATCTGACAAAATTAAAAAGCTGTACTACCGAAACGTTTGAAGGGATAAGGCAACGTTTTAAATTTGGTAGAGTTATAGTGACATGAGAATCGTGCCGAGACTATCCAACCAAGCAGGGTTGGATAGTCTCGGCACTAGGTTCTCTAGGTTCTTTAAGATGAACACTTTTTATTGTAAGAGTTATTAAATCTTTTAAGTTAGTCAAATACTCATAATTTTGTTCAACAGATGGCTTAAACGACAACTGTTAAGTATAGCAGCTGGTATTTAAGTGGATATGTAGAAAATAAGCCGTCAGTCTTAAGAGTAACATGATTGTTAATATTTTGTCACAAAGTATACCATAAAAAGAACCTTATTTAACTTCTGTCTAATGCTATAATGAATGGAGTATGGGTAAGTTTTTATTATGTTTCTTTATCATTCAAATCATCATTCGCTCCAATAGCGATTACCATTTTAAGTTATATAATTCCATTAATCGCTATCGCAATCAAAATACCAAGTAAAGGAAAAGCGATAGATTTTAAAATTAGACAATCATTAAACACGCGTGACGTCATTTATGGATGGCCACCACGATGTTTTCAATTCATTTACCTTTATCGTTTTGTGATCGGTCGGTCTCCCTATCTGCCTGTCTAGATACACCGCCAGATGCTGACAGTTGTCCGTCACACCTATCCTCTTCCAGTCGGAACTATCCCGGAATGGACTCGCTCTGAAAAATTTACTATTTTCTTCAAAATGGTAATGTTAAAATCAAAATATTATATATTAACTTATTGAAAGCACTTTAATAATTGGAACATAGATTAAAGTTATTAAGTACTCGCTGTCAAAAAGTATTCTCTATATCAAAATATAACAAAAGAATCGTGTCTTCATTTTATCCTAGACTAAAATTATGTTTATTTTAACTTTTCTATATATTTATTATTAATAGTATTATTACCTTACAAGCCCTTGGTCAAGAAGTTTTATGACTGCACTATCGGGCAACGAATTAAGATCTCCTGTTAGAATAATAGGTAGATGTCCAGATCTGTAAAGAAATAACATCATTACATCAAGTCAAATTTTATTAAACCCAATTAAAATAAGATTGTCAGTAAATGTTGCTGACTAATTTAAAGGTTTATAGGTCAGAACTAACTGTGTGGATCTGTTACTGGTTAACCGTTGATCTACCATGAATAAAAATACAATATGAAAACGACGCGGAAAGAAATATATAAGCCATTAACAAAAGAAGAAGTAAAAGTAAGACAGGAGTCCTGTCACAGGATATTACATAGGAACAAAATGTAACGTGGACATGTTTACGAATCGCGAACATGTTAATGGTACCATGTCCAAAATGACAATATATCGTTCCATGTTCAATCCATTCCAGGGTAAGTTACACACAGAACTACGAACGATTGTCGGAAGCTCATTTTTTTTAATTGTAATCATTTAATTTAAGGAAAAATTATCTTCCCATACAGCCTTCTCTTAGGTTGTATTATGATCATACTGCAATGTTATTGTTCAACGTTTAATGATTTCTTTGAGCCAAAATCGTAAGAAGGAAGACAATAGTAAAGAGGTGAACTGATTGCGTTCCTGCAATAAATTTGAAATTGGTTTTGGAATTATTATTACTAATTTATTGTATGGTTTAGTTCCTAAAAGTGGTGTTATTTTATGACACGAAAAGGAAGTCGGATGTAAACAAAAGAGGTACCATTACAAAAAAAACGTTCATGGTAGTTTGTTGACAAGCGTTAAAATAATGGTTTGGAACTTTTTCATCTCTCTAATAAATTTATAAGTTTTTAGTAATTTTTATTTAAACTAAAATGCCATTTTTTAATGATTAGATAGAAATGGTATGAAAATATTTAATGTAGAAGACAAGAAACAGGGATTCCTAATATAAGGCTACTTTAATTAAACTTTTCTTTATTTCGTATGCTTTATTATGAATATGTACGCAGTGTTGCTAACTCTAAATATTTTACGTAGATCAAGGAACCTAGATATTTTTTCTTAAATACTTAAATATTATTAACATTATCCCTATAAGATTCAATTCGATTCCATCCATAGGGAAGGCCTGAGCCCCAGCAATGGGAACATTGACAGGCCGGTAATGATGAACACAAATTTATAACTGTCGAGGCTAAATAAAATTTACATATTGTAGTTATTTCTAGCATGCTGTCAATCTATAAAACGATGATACTCACTGACCCCCGCTGGAGTAGTAGGCGAACCTATCTATCTCTGCCAGGAACACTTGTATCTGCGCGAGCCGTACGTCTGTCCGCTTGGGATTATACAGTAAGTGGGTGGTGGCCACCACAATGGGGCAAGTGGGCATTCCTCGTGGCACCAGTTTCACCATCACACCGATATTATCACGGTTCAAGATCGGTAGCTCCGGCTGATAAAACTCCACCTAAAAGGTTTAATTTAATATAACGTACCACGATAGTAATAGTAATCGTTTATTTGTTATTAAATGAGGTATAATAAAAGATGGAAAGACAATTATAGTTCAAGTAACTTAGCTATTACACTAGCATGCAAATATCATATTAATTTGATTATTAAATTTTTAACACCTTTGCTCGTAAAGCTGATGTAATTCCACCGGTTTTAAATATGTAAATAGATAAGCAAATAGATAAGTTATAGTCCATACAAATTCCATAACAGTATTATTTGCCATTTCGCACGCTGTTGCTATTCAAATTTCGAACTAATCGCCGCACGGCGCCAGTCAGTAGGCAGCGCTAGCGCGCTGTTAAAATGGCGGGAAAGCAACAGTGTACATTCACAGATTGAGTTTATTTAATGTTTTTTTTCCGCTTCCTCGCAAATGTGTTAAAAAACGTCGTACGATATACGTGCGTATTGGTTATAACATGCACGGCTCAATTACGCCCTCGCCTTCGGCTCGGGCTGAAATTCCGCCTCGCATGTTATAACCATCATAACGAACTAATATCGTAATGTACTATTAAATACAGGTAATTAAAATAATTATTATTTAGGACTAAATCATTATTATAACCATTAAAAAATGTCCGAAAATTAAAACTATATCATTATAACAAATTCAATTCAATTCAATTAGTAATACAGAAAAAAAATCAATGTCATGGAACATTCATTATCATAGTATTTTGTCAGCCAAATATTCATGGACCGAGTAGTAACATTTATGCACTAAGAGTTTTAACAGGCTCTTTTTAAATAGGTCGAGTGAAGCATCTTTCACATAGTTCGGCAACCCATTATAAATTCTAACAGCCATCGGATAACAGCTGTTGCTTTACATTTTGCGATATTTTGTGATATATTTTGACTGTCAAATATTTTTAATAGTTATTCACAATTCTCGTATGTAAAAAACAAAGCCGCTTCCGCTATCTGTACGATGATATCTCTTAAACTAGACAACGAATTTTAATGCGATTATATGTATCATACAAAACCACACCAACGAAGCCGCTGGCAAAAAGCTAGTGTGAGATAATCCAAAGTAAAATAGTTGTATAAAAAGATACTAAAAACATTACGTCCTTATTACGAGTTTACTATATAAGAGTTCCTTAAATACAACTACAAAATAACATCGTTTTACACAGAGAAATATTATTTTAAAAGTCGCAAACAACATGATATTTTTTTATTTATAAATCTAATACAGATATTCTGAACTATATTCGAAAGCTACCAATATTACAAAGACAAATCGTGATAAATGCAAACTTTTAACAATATATGTGTACTAAAAATAAATTTCGCACATATCGATAATATCCTTATCAAAATGATGATTAGAAGTTTAATAATTACACTACTTACAATTATATCAGTATACATCATTGACGAGACAGATATGCATCTTGGAATATATAATCAAAATAATACAAAAGGCATGCGACTTAGAAACTAATTTGCGTTACATTGAATAAACGAAATTATTTATTTGTAAAATAATTATTTATATAGAAAATCACAAATGAAATATTTATAATATGTTTGCTTGTTTATTCTTAGTTGACGTCGCATCGTCGCAACATGTCGCTATGGAATTTTCTTTGCGGTGAATTTAGGCGGAACCCTCACGTAAATTAAAACAAATATGAGAAGGTAGTTTCTAGGTAAGGTAGAGTTTCTAGGTAAGGTGAAATTTTTGTAAGTTCAGTAATAAAACTTTTATTAATGTATTTGACGTTTGACTTTATTTCTTTGTTCAAAAGCAATCGAACTTCTGTGATTTTAGATTACTACAACCTCTTAACACCGTCGATAATATAAAAATCAACCTTTGCATAACAACCAAAAATAAAATCAATGCCAGTGTTTCAAACTTTGTTTCTCTGCAGCAATATCTAGTTAACAATAAATCACATTTCAATATGAATACGGCTAGCGTCAAAAGTGTACTACACGTGTCGTGAAATAGTCAACATGTCTCCGTTATACAATTCACAAAGGTGAAATCTAAGCAAACACAGTTACGCAGACAAAAGCGTACGGTATTAATATTAAAAAAAAACCTTCGGTCGATTAGATCTGACATTGTTTCCAATGGGATAATATGCGACCGCTGATCTATTGAACATCTATTCATAGATGTAAAAATCTATTAAAAGTCCCTCAGCGAACTACGGAACGTGCTATGCTCGGGATTTCTATGTATGTTAAAATTCGTAACGAGATAATCCGACAGAGAACCAAATTCTTCGACACAGAACACAGGATTGGTAAGCTGAAGTGGCAGTGGGTTGGCCATATCTGTGGACTACCCAAAAACCGGTGAGGTACCGGCTTTGTGAATTATGACAAATAATTGAGATACACATAAAAGCTTACATAGTTTAACGTTATAAATTACTATTGTTTATTTGGATATCGATTCACATCATGAAATGGATATAATTACAATGAATTTAATAAAATTGAATAGTAAACAATGGTTACTATTGCAACAAATTTTCTCTCCCATTTCCATCCCTTTATTTGCTGTTTTCGGGTTAAAATAGAGCCTTTGTTCATCGCATATTCCAGCTTCAGTAGGTGAAACAATTTTTAAAAAAGGCCTACTAGTATCGGAGCCTTTTCTTTGCTAAATAAAAAACAAACAAAATATTTTTTCTTTATAATACTATGGTATAGACGATATAAATAAACCTATATTATTTTGTATTTAGAATATTTTTCCATTATCAAATTGAAATGGCTAGCTAATCACAAAGAATGATAAATTGATAAAAAGAAGTAAAAAACAAAAAATTCAATGATTTATAAGGCAGATTATTTTTTCACCTAGTCATGCATGAATACAAACGATACGGTCCACTATGCCCACTTCACCGAAACTATTACATATTGGACACATATAAGCTATAAAATAAAAGAAATTCTGGATATTCGCTACAGATTCATTAAAATAAAGTCATTAGTTCGCGAATCGCAAAGACTTCTTGCTTATTTTTGCCATAAATAAAAAAAATGTTTTCCGAGTAATTTTATTATTAAAAGGGTCAATCTTGAAGTAAAATATATTAAGCAAAAAAAAATAGTATAGACGTTCATTTTGGCGATGGTCTTAAAAGCCGAGTAGTAAATTTTTGAAGGTCAAATATCTATCAATTTTTGGTGTTATCTCACTTTTTATTAGTCTAATGATGTTAATACCTCTTAAAATATTATAGGATATCTTTGAAAAAATGTGTTTAAAAAAATCTTACATGTATGAAAAGTGATTAAGAATTGATTGATTAGACCTACAAAGAAATATAGCCGGGTTTTACCAATCAATGTATTCCAGAGGCAAAGCCCAATACTGTGATCAGCATATACCTATTCCTTTCGCTATGAGTAAAAGAACTGTTTGTTGGTAGAGTATATGTTATTTAGGTACATTGCTTGTTGCCAATTTCAATAACACAAACGCTCAAACTAATCGTATTGTGATAACAGTAATTTTTGTATGATATAGTTTAGCTTCAATAAACAAACATGTAAACAAGTAAAATTTTCCATATTTACAGAGTTTGTGTTAAGAGTGACAATTCTATAATTTTACGCACATATAAAATACCCTCAAATAATCAAAATAAAGCACAATGACATTGAATGCAGATTTTTAAACAATGCAGAATTTTTCGAGTCAATTTCGAAAAGACCTATAAAACAAAATATTCCTTGTAAGGCATATACAAAAATAAACACGAACTTCGCAGTTAGCGAACAGTTACAGAAACATACAATAATAGTTTGTAATGAATAATAATAATACTTACACTCATGTGTTCCGTCATTTCGAACAGCGAATCTTTGTAATATATAGCGCACCCATCGTGTCTGTGGCCAGTTTTCTGTTTGAATATTCCCGAGTAACCGATTGCTTCGAATCTTGAATAGAAGGAGTCTAAATGCGAAGCTTGCACTTCTTGAAGGCAAAGAATCTGTAATAAAAATTAAAGTACATCTTAAGTACAGTCTTGCTTACTTGATAAATTAACTTCAACTTATTACAAACAGCAGATTGCAATTTCTTTTTATCTATATTAAGTGATTACTGCCAAATATTTTTATAATAACTGTTGGCAACAGACTGATAAAATGTTAACATGGAATCTTTGTAACGGACATACTTTATTAATATTATCATTATATTAGCTTTTTCATTTATCTTGCCTGGTTTTATAAATATGTAATTTATTTATTTTTATAATGCGGTAAATTTCATAAAATCATTTTATTCTATCAAGAGCATTCCTTGTTACTCTTAGTATATTTAAATATACGATATATAAAGCATTGTAGAATATTTCGGGCTAGTGCGTCCAATACATAAATAAGTATAATATTTCTGCTAATTATTAAATGTTTAAATAACAGCACTTTTGTTAATCTGAAATATAACTATTTGGACTTTTTTTATATTATGCAATATTTTCATGACCTTACCTACTCTTTTTAAGTTTTACAAAATATACTATATTTCTCAGAAAGGAAATGTGGCAGCCCTATTGATAGAAGTCCTTTGTTATCACAATGGATTGCTTTCAGTAGGAAGATAACTTATGAACACAAACAACATATACATATAGGCGTCTGTTATCACAAACAGTTGCGCAATAACGCATTTTGGGTGCATTAGATGTCTTAAAAATATATCAACCTGTTATAATAAAAAAGTAACATCCACATCAATACCACAATGTCTACGTACTGGAAGTGCAGTTTATAAAACATTTTTTAGATTTTATAAGTCATATATTTCTAGAATATTTTAGGGTTATGTAAGTAAGCACGTACCGTTTTCAGCATTCAGTTGTCTTACTCTCCATTCATCTGTTACATCCGAAACTACTAAACCAATTGAAATAAAATTTGGTAGATATATAAATCTTTGACCCAATTATTGTCAACCATATCATATATAAAAGGGCTTATTGAGGGAATCACCACAATATACACTTTTGCAATAAATAATTTTAAAATTAATAAAGAAAATAGACTATATACCTCTGAATACAGAAGGGAAATTATTAAGTCTAAAAGTTTGGAAAAAAACATAGAGAATATAGATTTTAATACTATATTAAGAAATATTTATAGATTACTGGAACTAAGAAGTCAATGGTTTTTTCTAAATATAATATTTGTTCTTGTTTACTCTTGGCCAGTTATTTTTCTAAATGAGGAGCTAGAATTAGCAGAATTCATCTTTTACTATTAAATGAAATTTAATTGGACCCAGAAACTTTAGAAAAGAAGAGAATGTAAATCAATTCATATATTTATTTATTTATTTATTTTAATAAATGAGGAGCTAGAATTAGCAGAATTCATCTTTTACTATTAAATGAAATTTAATTGGACCCAGAAACTTTAGAAAAGAAGAGAATGTAAATCAATTCATATAAAATCTAAACACCAACATTTTTATGTACTTTTAAAAAATAAATGATCAATATTGATATATAAAAATGTTAGTAGCAATTACATATGTAGTTCAGTAATAAAATTCATATATAGCAAGTCAACAATTGTTTTCTTCTGAGTTTATAACAACTGCCATGGACAAATGGGTGACCCCATTTCTTAAGCTTTGATTAACATTTAAATACAATCCGCAGATGGTGTGGAAACTTTTTTGTGATAGACTTTCAAAACACTAGACTAAACTTAGTTAATTTAGTTTATTATATCTATATTAAGAACATGATTGAACAACTCTTTACTCACATTGCATCTACTTGTACCATAAAAATACTCACATCAGGGGCTAAATTGATAATTTCATCATAGAGATGTGTTGCTCGGACTTTCCATTTAAGGTTTTTTGGAGAACATGTGCTATATAAATGTGGGTGGCACTCAAGCAGATACTGTGCTAATACATTGTATGACAACACTCTGAATCTGAATCCACTGCCAACTGCAAATATAATACAGCAATTAACATTAGGCTAAATATAACCTTTCATGATTAGATTGTGTAAAAAAATCAGTCTCCCAGTGTATTTTTTTGGTATTCAAACACACACTTTATAATAGATACACAATAAATTCTTATGCTAGATAAAACATTTATTATGTTATATCAGAAATCATAACATAAATATACTTTGATCATATATTTTTCTTTATTTGATCAATTTCATGAAAATTCTGTTTCAGTTCAATTAAGCAGAAATACCTATATATTTGTTTCTAATTTATTAACTCAATCATTTATGAATGTTATGAAGTTCTGTTTATGAAATTCTTTACCACTGACATTGTGTAAATAGGTTATAAATTTTCTAAAGTTCTGGCATAAATTACCACAAAAGAGCATGATTTAATATAGGACTGAATATATGGTTATATTCATTTAACATACCATCACATGTAGTACCATTCCTTCCTACTGTTTCCCAAACTCGGAAGTTTGGAGGTACAGTACTAGTTCTATTCCCAGAGGTACCAGTTTCTGCTTGGGATGTTTTTGACTCATCATACTGGGATTGCCACTTATTGAGATTATCATTGTTTGTTGAACTATTAAATAAAGGGACAAATGTAACACTGATAAGATATCAGCAAATTATATGAAAAGTACACAAATAGAAATGTAAATATACATAAATGAGCAACAAAGTTGCCCAAGGCAGAAAGTGTATTAAACCAATTTTGTGGTAAATTAAAATATTAATATTATGGCTTACACATCAAATTGTCCTCCTCCATAACTTATATGATTTACAGTGGGATTCAGTGATTCACCCATTTGGTTGCCTGCATTTGCTTCATTGGAAGTTAAAGTTGTTCTCTTTGCTCTAAACCTTCGCTTGAAACTTGCAAACAACCTTTGTTGTTGGCCACAGTACAATAATGAAGCTGGTATTGGTGTGTGTTGTCTATACTCCTTATAGCATGGCTCCCCTACACTCGTCACATATGACAACTCTCTTACATGTGCTATACAACTCACACTATCACATGTGACCTTCAAGTATCTGCAAAAACTGTTGGGCAATTTCAGCATAGCTTTATTAAATTTGTACAAGAAATTTTGGTAATCTAGTTAAGTCATGACTAGCCTAACTACCACAGCCGTTTTGATCATGCATTACTGCAATAGTGTCCTCTTTTTTATATTGCATTTGACATGGATTTTGCTCTGAGAGATTTAGTTTAATTACCTGCAAAGGAGAATAGTTTACTAGTATCACCACATTCCACAAAACCAGTACAAAATAACGAAATTAAAAGTTGGCCATTAGAGTAATAAGTAGTTCTTAAAACTTTCATGGTCATTGACATTAAAGTTATGTATATAAGGAATTGCTACCATGTACATAAATTAAATGGATAGCAGAGCCAAAATATCTCAATAAAAAACATGGTAATTACATGGTAGCAATCCCATATATACAAACTTTAATGTCAATGACCATGAAAATTTAACCAACATATTGCCAAATCCAATAAACCAATATGGACTTCCAGAAAGTATACTCTGTTATATGAGGCCTATCTAACACACTTAATTATGATATGAAAAAAATAACAAACAAGTAAAACAATACGTAAAATTTAATTCATGACCGATATGTAAACGTAAGTTGGTCCTATTGAAGTAATTAACAAGACAAACTGAATGTCAACGAACGTAAATGATAAACTACCTGCCACATAAGTAATAATCCCTTAAATATTTTTTTGTCCTCCAAATAAATAAAAACGCATTACGATAAACAAAACAAATTGTTTTAGAAGCCTATTATATAACTTTATTTCGTCCAACATGACACAAAAACATAGAATAAGATCTCTTATTTCCAATGATATGACAACAAATTATAATAACCTATAAATGGAAATACTTAAATAAACCATAAGTTTTATTAAGACTTACATGCAATTAGCTATTAGCCATTGTTAACTTGAAAATGCAAAGAGCAAAAACCATGACGAGCAACTAAATTCTACTATAAAAATACATTTTTATTGACCCACCGACCTCTCCTATCAGTTCGTTTCGTATCTTTCATACATTGACTTAAAAGTACTTGGACTCGGCAAACCTACAATTTATGTATTATCTATGCCTACAATTTAGCGTGCACACCTACCCTTCATTAAGAATAAATAATACATGGCGGATTGTGTTAGGGTTGTTCTTTTATACACTGAACTGATATTGATATCAACGAAATTATTTTTAACATAATACTGCCATACAAATATAGGAAAATTTTCAATAAGGATCTTCACTAAGGGATATCAACAGTTTTTTTGTTTGTCCGTCTTTGGAGTAAATTAATGGATAAATTTGGAGTAATCAAATAAAAATATTATGGCGTCACACCTTTATACATTTTCTATATAGTTGTGACGTAGTGGGCCCCCAAGCCTTTAATGCCTTTAGGCAAACTTTAATACCTATTATCTAAACCATTTCTTGTTGAATTGAAACAAAAAATACGTATGTTTTGTTTCTTTTATCTGGCTGACGAACATAATAGAATTTTTTTTTTCCCAGGCTACGTCTTTATCATTAAAATTATATATTGCATGTCGTAGAAGTGCAACGTTGTATAAAAATTCCTAATCAATCCACTAACAAGTGGATTGATTAGGAATTTTTCCAGTTATATGGACAAAGATTTACTCAATCTGAATTTTTACATGATTCAAGGATTTTGAATCATTAATAACACAGTTTGCTTTTCTTTTTGTGTAAATATCTATTGAGTTTTAGCCCATATGCATTGTTGCTAGTGCTGCAGCAAAACGTATGTATTCGGTATTATAATGGGTGCGCCATCTAGTACCTAGAAACGAAACGTTACTCACTAATGAATGTCGTTACTCGTATGTTTTTGTACCCAATACAACTGTTTTAATTTTAACATAAAAGTTGATCCTTTTTATTTTATTATTATGATCAGTGTCATTATAGTACCAAAAGATACAGATGTTTTATTTCATTTGTTTGTTCTTATTTCAACTATTTTTTTTTTTGGATTAATTTATTGTTACAATGTTGTATAATTTTATTGTAAATAGAAAATCGCTACGGTACGTTCTTGATTTCTCCATGACAACCCTTCGGGTTTTCTTTCATGTGTTGTGGTAGGGCAACACTAATGACAGCCCGCGCATATTATATTGTCGGTTAGAGATTATCTATGGAACTATGGAGGCCGGCTTGGCTAGGTTGTACTTTGTGAGTAGTGTGTTTGTTACAATAATAATAAAAGCTAATTCCTTGAATGTCGAGTTAATCATTTCTACATGGTGGCAGCGGTGTTATTAAATAATAATAAACATGGAGGCTAATCCAAGCAGGGAAGAGTCGAGACCTGTTAAACTTTTGATACCCATGCAAAATGTCAGCCCGCCGGAAGAATTTTCATTTGAAAGCAAAGATTGGCAAAGTTGGAATAAAAGGTTTGAGCGTTATTTAAGTCTAAGTGGGGTAGAGAGAAACGATAAAGATAAAATTGATTTGTTTTTATACGTACTGGGTGGAAAAGCAGAACAGCTTGTGAGACAACTAAAAGTGGAAAACTGTGAAAAGTATGTTGAAGTACATTCAGCTTTTGATAATTATTTCACACCCAAGAAAAATGTGGTTCATGAACGATATAAATTTAATATAAGAAAGCAAAAAGAAGGTGAAAAGATAGAGGACTTTGTTCGAGGGCTAAATATTTTAGCTGACTCCTGTAATTATGGTACATTAAGAGATGAGTTGATAAGAGATCGTTTAATAGTAGGGGTTGCAGATAGGAAATTAAGTGAACGATTGCAACTCATACCAGAGCTGAGTCTAGATGATGCAATAAAATTATCAATGCAAGCAGAAGAACAAAGGGAGGAAGCCAGATTGATGTGGAGACGTGAAGCAGAAGAAATGCAAATAAACAAAATAGCAAACAATACAGGCACTAAGGTGAACGAGGATGGAGGAAGAAAATGTTGGTGGTGTGGAGGAGCAATGCATAAGCGGGAGAAGTGTCCAGCGTTTAAAGTCAATTGCTATAAATGCAAGAGAGTAGGACATTATTCTCGTTGTTGTCGAGACTGGAAAAGGATAAACAATATAAATGAAGACGAGTTTAAGGTACTAGTACATCTGTCTTTAGGAGAAGGTTTTACTAAAGTTAGTTTTTTAATTGATACGGGAGCAGACATTGTAGCAATACCAACCCACATTCTTAACAAAAGTATTGTTATTAATAAATGTAAGGATAAAATAAGAGGACCTGATGGAAAACCATTGCAGGTATTAGGGTGGGTGTGTGTAGAGATAAAATATAATGATAAGGTGTATAGTGGTAGAGCCTATGTTATTGAAAATTTAAAATCTCCTATTTTGGGACGGCCTGCTATCAAAATAATGAATATTTTAAGTTTGTGTAATATGTACAAAAATAACAGTGTTGATAAATCAGAACCAGATAATAAGATAAAGGAGGGCAAAGAATTTGTTGATATTATTCGTGAATTTCCAGAAGTGTTTAATGAATTGGGTGTGTTTAAAGATTCTTTTACTATAACATTGGTTGATAATCCAAAACCATTTGTGCAGACAACACCACGAGTTGTACCAATTCCATTATTAAATAAAGTAAAGGGAGAGCTAGATAGACTAGTTTCTATAGGCGTACTGTCTCCTATTGAGGAGCCCACATTATTTGTGTCACCAATAGTAGTAGTTCCTAAAGATAATGGGGGGGTTAGAATATGTGGAGACTATACTCAATTGAATAAAAATGTTAAAAGGCATATTTTTCCTATACCTAAAGTAGAGACTACATTGGGTAGGTTAAAGGGTGCAAAGTTTTTTTCTAAAATTGATGCAACAACAGGTTTCCACCAAATAAATTTAAGTGAGGTTTCTAGAAAACTAACTACCATACTTACACCATTTGGTAGATACATGTACAATAGATTACCAATGGGCCTCAATTGTGCACCCGAGTATTTCTCCATGAAATTTTCAAATTTGTTTCAAAATCTTGAAGGAATAGTTCAACATGTTGACGATTTATTGTTATATACTGAGGACATAGAAAGTCATATAATACTACTTAGGGAGGTGCTTAGGAGGTTATCAAGAGAAGGTATTACAATTAATAAAGAAAAGTGTGTGTTTGGAGTTAAAACAGTTTCATATTTAGGCCATATTATCACTTCTGAAGGAGTATCTTTAGATCCTGATAGAGTAGAAAGTATTAAAAGATATAAAAAACCAAACAATAAAAAAGAATTAATGCAGTTCTTAGGGCTTGTTAATTATGTAGGAAGATTTATACCAGATAAGTCAAATATATTAGAACCACTGAATGAACTCTTAAAAGATGGGGTTTTATATTATTGGGGGAGTTATCAAGAAAATGCTTTTGACAAAATAAAACAGTTGATTCAAAGAGCACCAGTATTATGTCATTATGATCCTAACAAAAAAAGTAATTATTTCTGCAGATAGTAGTTCTTATGGTTTGGGGGCAGTATTGATGCAAGAAAATTCTAAAGGGGAAAGGGAGGTTGTGTCATTTGCAAGTAGAACATTAAATAGAACAGAAAAAAATTATGCTCAGATTGAAAAGGAATGTTTGGCTTTAGCATGGGCTGTTCACAAATTCAGAGACTATGTTGTAGGTATAACAGTTCTTTTAGAGACAGACCATAAACCATTGTTGCAAATATTGCAATCAAAACCTCTTGATGATTTAACGCCTCGTTTACTGCGGTTTCGATTACAGTTAATGCGGTACACATATGACATTGTTTATGTTCCAGGAAAAAAATTAGTTACAGCGGATGCATTATCTCGCTCACCCTTGCCCTGCACAGTGCCGGAGGTCGATCTACAGATAAATAGCATTGAGTATGGAGGTGTGGGTGATCATAAATTAAATAAAATAAAAATAGAACAAGGAAAATGTAAGGTTTGTTGCCAAATTACCGAATATACTAAAAAGGGATGGCCACACAGAAAGGATGTACCTAAGTTTTTACAAATGTATTATCAGTTTAGACATTGTTTTTCAGTAAAGAATGGATATTTACTTTACAACACTAGATTAGTTATTCCAGTAGCTTTACAAAAATTAGTATTGCAAGATATTCATCAAGGTCACTTAGGTATATCCAAGTGCAGGGAAAGGGCAAAGCAGAGTGTTTGGTCGTTAGGCTTATCATCTCAATTAAAAATTATAGTTGAAAACTGTCCTGAATGTATACAAGAAAGACATAATTTAAAAGAACCAATGATAGTAGAAGATGTGCCCAATAGAGCATGGCAGAAGGTGGGAATAGATTTATTTAAGTTTAATAATTATTGGTATATTGTAATTGTTGATTATTACTCGAGATTTATTGAATTATTTAAATTAACTAACTTAACAGAAGAAACTATTATAACTAAATGTAAAGAGACATTTGCCAGATTCGGCATACCTGACATAGTACGTACAGATGGAGGGCCACAATTTAAAAGCAAATTTAAAGATTTTTCTGTCAAGTATAATTTTGAACATATTATAAGTAGTCCTTATTACTCACAGAGTAATGGGTGTGCAGAAGCTGCAGTTAAAATTGTGAAAATGTTGTTGAAAAAAAATACGGATATTAATTTGGCACTTCTGGTTTACAGAAATACTCCTGGTGAGTCTGGTTATAGCCCTAATGAATTAGTATTTAATAGAAAATTGAAAGAAATTTTACCTATTTATCCTGATCAACTTGATGTTAAAGCAAAATTACAAGAAAGATTTAAAGTAAAAAGGTCACAGTTTAGAAATAGAATGGCAACTAATTATAATAATAGACATAAGAGTTCACATCTAAGTGATTTGCAAATAGGAGAACATGTTTGGGTTATTGACCTGAGAAAATATGGTGTGATTGTAAGAAAGGCGAAGGAACCTAGATCTTATTATATTGATATTCAAGGGTTTACTTATAGACGTAATAGATGGCATCTGATTCCAGCGCCTTTCAATTCAAATAAACCTAATGTAAAATCAACAAATGTTGAACAAGAGTCTGAAGTTTGTTCAGAAATGGGCTTTGGTCAGAAACTTTTAGAAGGGGAAGAAAACAGTAAATCTGATTATAATAATAAGTGTCAGGGAGATGAAGAAATAACAACAAATTTAAATAATAATAATAGTTTATAAGAAAGTAGTGATAATGAAAGCAATAGTAATGAACAGTTTTCCAGTGTTACAGAGGATAATAATTGTATAATTCAAGAAGAGTTGATGAAACGTAGAATAAGAAAGAGACCTAGATATTTAAGTGATTATGATTGTGAATTATAAAGAAATCTTGAGAGGAAGGATGTTGTGGTAGGGCAACACTAATGACAGCCCGCGCATATTATATTGTCGGTTAGAGATTATCTATGGAACTATGGAGGCCGGCTTGGCTAGGTTGTACTTTGTGAGTAGTGTGTTTGTTACAATAATAATAAAAGCTAATTCCTTGAATGTCGAGTTAATCATTTCTACATCATGTTTAACAGTAAATTAGTTTTCAAAACTATTCTATTTGTACTTTTTCGTATTTGTATTGATATCTAAGTTTCGAACTTTACAAATTTCAGTTTTATAATAATTTAGTTAAAAGGAATGGAAATGACTGTGTTTCGTTCATTCGTTTCCTGCAAAAAATGACTTTTGCTAGAGTCGCCATCTCGTGGTGGTGCCTTTTTAGTGTTTTTTTTTAAATACTTCCTCATTAACACGCCTCGACACAGGGTCACGCACGAACCTACCAAGAATAGCTGGTTGGAGCTCCGACCAATATTACATGGTTGCATGGTTTAGATCTCTTTATTTATAATAAAATAAAAAGTTTTGTCTGTCATTGTCAATGTCAACTACCTGTTTGCTCACCCTAAACTTTTTTTACTCTTTGTTGATCACCATCTTGTACACATCGACACCGGCCTTTATTTTATTCCTTTCCTATTCATATCATGAAAGAAATATTGATTCTGTAGTATCATAACATTTTTGTGAATCTAAGTGATATGTGGAACAAATTTCAATTAATATTTAACGCCTTTATCCTAGACACAGCTATTTAAAAGAAAGTTAGGAACAGTTTCAAGAGTGTATAAATTTTTCAATAATAGCTAATTTCAAAAAGGTAATTCACATTTGCCATATCTTATTTAAACTTATAGTCCTTATAGTGAAAACTAGCATAATTACCGCATATCATTACCAATTTAAATCTGTATAGGACAAATTTTTCGGATTACTTAATGCTTTTTGAAGGCGTACTGTTTCTCCGAACACGAAAATTCCTCTATATTGGGAACCCTAATACGACTCTAAAGGAATACATTTTCCGATATTTAATAATGCAACGGAGGTAGGACCCTGACACAGCTTCTGATGATATTGACGCATATGATTTTAAAAAAAATGGTAGAATGATTTGATATTTTTGGAATTTTCGTTGATAGACACACAGAGTAGCCCCTCTGAAAAACTGAAAAGCAATCTATAAATTATGAAATAAACTGAGTGAAACATTGGATTCTGGCGAAATCCACAAGAGCAATGAAAAAATTGTTGTAAATCAATAATTACAAAGAAGAAGATTAAGGCGTCTGAGATTACACAATAATTTAATTTCGAAGTAAGAACAAAGATATGAAAGCTTGAGTACTTCTAACATTGAACTTATAAAAAATATTGCAAACAATTGATTCAGATAGTGGACATTTAGCATAGCAAGTGCCGTTATCAGTGTCTTGAAGAAGCTATATAACAATTTTAATTTATTTGGTAATTGGTTTAATAATAAGATTTAATAAATGGAAAGTCGATCATCTACTATCTATTGTAAGGAGTAGGGTAAAATGACATATACTATCCTAAGCAACAAAAGAATACTATTGGAAAAAGATACAGAGGCTTTGGTGATACATTTAACTATATATGGTGAAGGTACCTTGCCTTTCCTCTCCTGTATGTAAAATCCATCCAGTATTACCATAACTGATTTTAGTAATTTTTGTTTACAAATAACCTAAAACTAATATACTTTTCCAGATTCCAAGAATATGTTTTAAAATAATAAAATGTTCAAAATTGAATCATATGTGACCCCTATTCTATTGAGTTATGTTGATAAATATGTACGAGACTTCAAGCCAGCTGATGCCCAAGTAAGTTTAACTTTCAATATTTCTTCCCTAATCAAATTATGATTCTATCATTCATCTTTTAATATTCCTCCAGCCAGAACACAGGTCTTCTCTATGAATAGAATCACATATGCTGAATGGCTCTCAACTGCACTATGTCTGCATCACCATGCATACTCACCAAATCACAATATGTCTGTATACACCTATACAGACATATTGTGGTTTGGTGAGTATTGGCAATCTTCCTTTTTGATTTGATTTTATTCCAGCCATAGGGAAGGTCTGTGCCTTAGTTGTGGGGACATTAATTAACCCATGAGAATGAGTAAAAATGATTGCATATTTAGCAGGAAATAACGTCACAATTAGGGAATGCAATTTCGCGATATTGTAATTCGGGCGAGATCTGGCGAGTTTTTGAATATCAATACCACGGGATCTCGCGAATTTCGAGATTGACACTTTTGTGTGTTTACTGTTTTACTGTAATATTTATTCAAATCACAATATTTGAATAAATTAGGAAAAATATAGGAATTATAGGTATTAATAAACAATTATTTTTACAGGTATTTTCACCAATATTATTATTATTATTTATTTTCAATTATATTTTATATATTTAACATTGTTTGACGCAATTATTTTTTTTTTACCTAAAACCTTTAAAAGAACAATTACTGTATTATAATCTCAGAAACAGCTCCAACAATTTTTATGAAATTAACTATGCAAGGGCTTTCAGAGACGATAAATTGGTTTAGTTAGGTTTATTTTTTTTATTTTATAAAAGCGCCAAGTGAAGCTTAGTCATCCATGTACTAATCTTTTAAGAAGCTAAACTTTGACATATCTAATTAAACTAATAAAAAAAATAAACAACCAATCGTCTATCCTTTGAACTCATTAACTAAGTTGAATTGTCTATTATACTGAGATTATTATCAATAAAAGAAAACTATGTGTACCCAGAGATCTGTTAGAGAATAAATTAACAAGATATACCAATCAATTTAAAGGCTTATTCAGTTCACTTCACACATCATTATTAGGAATAATTTTGAAAGTAACTTCTTAAGAAGCACAAAATTTCCAAAGAATCTTTGCTATTCGTCTTATTATTGTGCAGGCCAGCCACTGAGAAGACCCTTTCGAAAACACAAGTACTGTAAAAGTGTTAAACTTCGCCTTTTAAACCCCCGGACCCGCGCCGCCGCAATTAGAATAAATCATTTTTCTGCTCGAGTGTAATCTCGTTAAACTCGCGAGATCTCGCCCATTTTCCGAGATCAATCTCGCTAAAAAGCCGAGATCTCGCGAGAATGAGGTTGCATTCCCTAGTGACATCATCTATTGTCGTTATAACTACTACTTCGTTGAGTACTGATGTTATAATTGTTAATTTATACATATTGATATTTTCTTATTTCTCTATCTATAAACCAGGTTTCGCTATGGGGTGGGGGTGTGGCCCTACATAACTTGGTGCTCAAGGCTGATGTGCTACAACAAGAGGTTGCATTACCATTCACCCTTGTCTCTGGTCGCATACACGAGCTACTTATTCAAGTACCATGGACCAAGATTATGTCTGAACCCATTGTTATCACCATTGATACAATCGGTAACATAAATATATGCAACTGTGAAATATAATCTAACTGTAAATAGAATATTCCATGTGAAATCAATGTTATTTTTTTCAGAATGTGTTCTTAACTTGAATCCACCAGAACCTCAAGATGACAATTCACCACCAGAACCACCAAGGTACACTTATATAAAAAAATTCAAGCAATTTTACCAATATTTTTTTATAAAAATTTAAACATTAAAATTACATTCAAGTATTTTTTAAAAACAAACAATGATTAAGGTATCATTAAATGGGTTATGTTTTATTACTGATCAGTCACTTTGTAGACTCAATTTCTTTATTTTCAATTAATTTATAACTCGTTCATAGCCTGCAAGAATAAACATGACACTAAGTTTGATGTTTTTGGGGATATGCATGAATTAATTTTATAAGTTTTTGAGCAGGATATTAGGTTTAAGTTGTATATAAGTTTTATAGTATACATATTGTATTTTTTGTTATAGTAAATAATATGGTGTAAATAGTTTTTACGGTATTGCCTCGCAGGCACTCAATTCTGTTACTGGCTGTTTACATACATTTAAACAAATCATGAATTTGAATTTCTAAGATAAAAAAATAGACTTCTTTCCCGCCATTATTGTATGTTTTTTGTTTAGAAATTATTTATTTTGAAAACGCAGTGGGGTACTAAAGACAATAGGATTGCAGTAATTGCACTGTACAAAGTAAGTAAGGAGCCAGCCGAAATTTTTGATACAATGAAAAAGCTAGGGATTAGCCGAATGTTTGTGTATCGTAGCATTCAAAGTTACACTGAAACTATGTCTGTTGATGACCGTGAGAAATCCGGTCGACTGTGGTCTATTCGAAAACTAGGCCGTTAATGCAGTCAAGGCCTGAATTCGTCGAATTCCATAAGGAAGCAGAAAATCCTTTCCAGAGAAATGAGAATCCCACCGAGGACACTTTCGGATTGTCAAACAAGACTTAGGTCTAGGAGCTTACCAGAGATATACAGGACATGCCTTAAATCAGACACTAAAACAAAGAAAAGAGGTTCGAAAGATCAAAACAGCTGTTACTTCGATACGCAGATAAAAAACAGAAAAATTGTCTTTAACACTGAAAAAGTTATTTTACACTTTGAATGTTTCGTGCGCTTCAATTAGGTAGTAATGTTAATAATTTCTGCTCTGATTGCTTTTCGTTTGATGCTACTGTAACTATTGAAAAATGTATATTTGTTTGGTGATGCTAAAATATATTATGTATTATTTAAAAAAACGATGTTTTATATTTAAACTTTATGTAATTTTAATTATTAACAATTTAATTGTGTATAAAATATGTTTACAAAGACTTTTTTTAATTTAATAATAAAATTGAGAATACAATAAATTTATTATTAAATAAAAGAAAATCGATATAACTCACTATGGTTGTATTCTTATCAGAAGGACTCAAGTAGTGGAAGCACCACCAGGCTACATGCAGGCGCTAGTCCGTCGTATCGTAAGCAATATTGCATTGCGTGTTCATCATCTTATCGTGAAGTATGTTCAGGATGACATCGTGTTGTCTCTCAATGTGAAACATTTGGCTGTAGATAGTGCTGGGCCTTCGTGGGAACTGGCATTTGCTGGTGAGTTGGACGTTTGGATACGAAATTATAATTTTTCATTAAATATTTTTAGTAATATATATGACGGATTTGATAAGAGAGAGAGAGAGGAAACCTGACTAAATACTTATTGTGATTATAATTTTCTAAATAAGCAGAAACCGAGGTTTAGAATTACTTATTAATTAAATGCTAATGGATAATAAAAATTGCAAATTGCTTTTTATCTATTTACAAAAGGATCATCAAAATAAACTAAATTATCGATCTAAAAACTCTTTATTCATTCGTTAAATATTTTTTACGTTCAGAACATTTTTGGCCGACATGAAGAACGAGTGAAGAAACTTGGCGGTTCTAACAAAAAATATTTACAAAAATCATGCCATTAACGAAATAACAAGAATAGGTTACACTTACAATATTACATTATAATTTAATTCAATAATAATAATAATTAAATGTTAATTTACTTAATGTGTGAATTGTACAAAAACTCCATATATATATTAACCAACGAATTAAATTCATTCCCTTGGCCCCCATTTCTTACCACCGGCATCTTTCCCGCCAAAACAAAACTTCCTTTGAATAGGACTGAGATGGCGCTAGTCTCGCGTCAAATTAAATTATGTTTATATAATAATAACTAGTTATTGCTTAATATTCATGTAATAATTTATTAATTAGTTTTTCATTTATTCTGAGCTGAATTGTAACATTTCAAATAAAAAGGATTCAATTTAAAACACGTTTATTTGTGTTTGTAAAACAATTACTTTTTAATGTTAATTTTTCAACTTCAAATAGTCAACTGAGATGTTGATATTTTGAAAACACAGAGTTATTTTATAGTTATAGTAATTAATTACAAATAATAATTTAAAGTTATAGTAATTAATTACAAATAATAGGCTTACAGACAACATTCTTAGTAATAGGGTCCCGTTTACCCTTTATTTATTACACACATAAGACTCAACAAAATCGGTCCACTATTGTCGAATATATCATGAAAGGCAATTCAGATAATAATACTGTTTTGCACAGATGTATTAATAAAGTGAACTGATTTTTTTTGTATGTTACTATCTTACAACAAAACAGGCGAAGTAATAACTTGCCTGAATAGTACAAATTATCTGCGCATAACATTATTACCGACTGAATTTGTAGACTTAATTTTACTGGCAGCTTCGCGTGTAAATGTAGAGTGTATAAGTTCTAATTAAGATTGTATTGTGTGTCAGATTACTATCTTACGACAAAACAGGCGAAGTAATAACTTGCCGGAATAGTACAAATTATCTGCGCATAACATAATTACCGACTGAATTTGTAGACTTAATTTTACTGGCAGCTTCGCGTGTAAATGTAGAGTGTATAAGTTCTAATTAAGATTGTATTGTGTGTCAGATATCGATCCAGTGGAGCCTGTTATTCGTCGGCTGGTGCGGTTGGACGACCTTACTTTGTGCCTCGATCGTGCTGACTCCGATGGCAAGATACGTTTTTACCAAGAGCCTCTGCTCTACCGATGTCAGCTAGACCTCAGGTACACTTGCGACAGTTATGAAGAATTTAACTTTCTTATTTAAATGTTATTTTTTTCTGGTTCTATTCTCTAGTGACTCCACTACTCACTTGTTCGGATGATTGATGCATGCAATATTTGATTATCTTATATCATCAGCTTTTTACTTCGTCCTCACTGCAGGGGCTCAGGCCTTCCTTATGGATGGTTAAGAAGGACGGGTCGTCCACGCTGTCCCAATTATTAACGACTGCAAATCAACCGGGACCAACGGCGTGCTTTCTGAAACACGAAGTAGCTTGAGATAATATTTTTTTTGGTCACCCACCCCGGCCCTTACGAAAGTTGCTTAACGACAATGATCGCGTGCCGAGGCACTCATCCACTACGCACCTAGCTACTCTTATCTTAAATGGACCAAACTTGAAAGCTGGTGCTATTTTAAAAATCCTTGCCATTTAATGTGATGAATAACAAAGTGATTACTGAAATCATGTCACTGTAAATTAAGATAATAGCGAATAATGACTTCTGAGATATACTACAGTTGAATATAGTATTCAATTATTAGAGATATTTTTAAATTTTTGTAAATATAAATAATAATAATAAATAATGTTTAGAAACAGAATTCTAACCATATATATAAATGAATTCTAAGCATAAGCTGCCGAACAGATAATAGCGTACAAAATTTCTATATTTGATCAAATAAATTTCAGTTACACCAAATTTTTTTGATACCCTTGACAGTTACACTAAATTCAATTGTTTTTAAAGAAGCCCATAACATCAATTGAACCTGCTACTGACGTATTACTAATATTCTGTCTTCCTTATCTTAGAGTATTAACGCGCTTGGTGTCAGCTAACACGCGGCGTGCTATCGGCCTCAGTGTCCAGTTGCGATCATCTAAACTCGCATGGGGGGTGACCAACGATCAGCTAGTACTGTTACTGAGACTTCTCAATGAGATACCTAGGGCTGAAATTAAGCTACCACCGCCCGCCCCTAAAATGACCGCGCAAAGTTTGCCGCTGCGTAAGTAGTACTTATCATATTGTCCTACTATTACTAAGAATAGCTGGCTTTCTAAATTTGTTTGGAAATGGAACGAACCCTTTTTGGAAAACGAATATAAATTAACACAGTGCCCAAAAATAAATGCAAACTTACTACGCGTAAATATGTATTGTGATTAGTTATAATTAAGCGTTTACTATTTAATGTAATAAAAGTTTCCGTGTACGTGTGTAGATAATTTAACTCCGATCATCTACCTCATGCTAAATTAATAATTTCGTGAATCCCAACATATGTTTTGTGAAGCACTGGGGCTACATGAAGCACATTTTAGAAAACGCTGGTGTAGAAAATATAAACTTTATTCTCAGATACATCACAAAACTCAGCGGAGCCGGCTCGTGTTGAAAGTTGGTCAGAATGGGCGTGGTCCTGGTTACCAACTTTGGCAGACCGTGAGGGAGCGGAGGAAACACCAACACCACCCACACCTATACCTATCGCTCTGGTCGCTTATCTTGATGACGTGTCACTTGTACTTAAGGTAGTAACAGCACAACATTATATACTAAATCACCATAGTCTAATTGATATTCAACCTTATTGTCGTGAGATTAGACATTGAAATCAATTGTATAAATTTGATATTTTTGCATCTTAACTTTACGCTAATATGACTGTTTACACAAGCCTAATTCTGTAAAAAGCAAACCTTACGAGAAATACTGAGACCGAAACACTGAGTAAATATAAATCGTGCGGTTTCGAATCGCAAATTTGTGTTATTGATTATTATATCACTTTAGAAAGGTTTCGACAATGAAATTATTCATTTATCCGTGCATTCATTGTTAAAGATAATGGAAGTGGAAAGTAGTGCGCGCAAGCGAGCACGCGCAGTTTTAGAAGTGAGCGCATCACACGCAGCGATTAAAAGTAAAATGCGTGCGCCGACTATGATGCGTGTACACATTGGCCTTAGGAACATCACGCTTAATGCACGTGGCAAGTGCCCGTGCGGTCATACTGGAATAAATGCTGTAAGTTTTATTTTAATTTCTCTCACTCCTTATAGTATTAAAAAGAAGAAAGAACAGAACTCTTATAGACTTACTCGACTGTCTGTCTGTCCGTCACAGCCGATTATCTACGAAACTACTGGACTGATTGAATTGGAATTTGGTACACATACATAAGCTATACCCGAAGACTACTATACCATAACGTTAATTAATGAATTTGAAGTAATTTGCTCAGAAATATTCTTGTTACTTGTAAAGTATTCTATTTGTATGCAAATTTTTTCAGTATAAAGAAGAATCGACGGTATACTTGAGTAAGATTGAAGCCGATTTGCCAGACAAGCCTTGGACTTGGCCTGAAGAAGATCCAACTGATGCCAGGATAGAATTGGCGCAGGTCGCTGATGAACCGTTGCGCGGTACTGTGCATGCATCAGTAAGTTGATGAAGAAATATCAATCCTAATGATTTTTTCCTGTGTCATTAAAGTAATTAGAAATATCTTTGATTCTCTTATTTCACATTATGGATAAATATGCTAATTGTATTCCGATTTTTAGTTTCAACAGTAAGTCTGTAGTTCAATACTAAAATATAAAATCATCATATTCGAACTCTAGTATCTATATATAGTCTGTATCAATGTTTTTTTTAAATTGAGTTTTTCTAATAACTGTGAACGGCTTGAATCTTCACAGCAAGAAAATCGTGCCTCGACAGAGCAGGATATAGAAGATCGTATTGAAGAGCCTACGGTATCTACGGAAAATATGGACCCGTTGTGGCAACATATGCAACCTATTCTGTTTGTGGAGTATAGCCATGAGCGTTCACCTCCACAACCGTACACCAACCCCTACGAAAACCCACCCAGTGATTTTCAATACAGGTAAATATATGACATTCTTTATTATTACTTCTAAGTATACACGGCTGCACGTCAAGTTACCACAATATAAATTTCCGCAATTCATTTTATACTCTACCCTCAATGTATTAAAGTTTGAAACCAAGTGGAAAATTTTGTCCGTTTTGAATAAACTCACGTACCGTTGACTGTACATATTGTATGGTTTTAAGTCTTTAGATTATAACTAAATTTTGTCTTTCATTAAGAGCAGTGCAAATACTTGTGAGTCGCTCGTATCCTAAGAATAACAAAATGGGCGCAAGAATTTTTAAATACATGGACCATATTAGATAGCTTTAAAATCCAGGACGATGTTTAAAAACTATCCAAATCGTCTTAGGATACTACAAAAACCGGAATTTATTTTAGGAAATCATTGGCTACCCTAACTTAGTAGAGCGTACCTGCGAAATTCCAATAGAGATTACAATTAAGTAATTTCCTATATTATGTTAACGTCTGCAAAGCGAAAATACTTTAACGGTTAAAAATGCTGCATAACATGTATGCCGGTTCTTATACTCTTAATTTCATGTCAGATCACTTGTGACCTGGTTGTGCTACGAGGTTCTGAACATACATACTTACGTCTTCCACTTTCTCAATTAATATCTTTTGACTTCTTATCATGCCTTGATAATTCGCTATCGATTTAAAATGTAAGTTATTATATTTACAAGAGAATGAGCTTGCATACTATATTTCTACAATGTTTTGATACCATAGTACACAGCTTTCTAATGACTTGGAGCGAGTAGAGCTATGAGGTAAAAGCGAGTTGACGAGCAGCGATTGTGTATTTATGAATACTTTTGTCACTGCTATTGCTACGTATCTAAATTCATAGTACGGATACCCGCCAATGCGAGCGTTATAAGCGATTATTTGCTTCAAAAGCTATGCGTATTTACTAAGTCTTTTGGCGAGTATTCTGCCAAGAAAACACTGCTAAGCGAGTTTATCTCTGGCAGTTCTTTTCGTTCAAATACGTATAGAAAACGAGATTATATCACAAAACCAGTTAACGAGACTGACAAATGACGTAATGCATCTGTTTTTATTAATGTATAGAGAATTTACATATATTAATGTTTCGTCCTAGTTACTGCTTAGCGAAAGATTGCAGATTTGAATCTGTATCATGCACCTGCGATTGTTAAATTATTTTGAATATTTTTCATTAGATGTGATGAGGTTTTCAGTTTTTTACTATAGTATATACTTATAGTAGCTTAAGCACTCTCTTAATTAACTCTTGATGTTATCTTTTATGTTAGAATTTATTTTACTGAAAAACTAGTTGCTATCTTATTGGCCTTACGTTTGGTCTGTGGTGGAAATATCAAATGTTATGCTGCAATTATTTTTTTAAGCAGAGATATTATAATATCTAATAAGTACTTTCAGTTTTAATACCTGTATTATTGTAAGTTTTTAACATCTCTGTGTTAGAAAATTAGTAGATGTTTTTCGTACCTATCTATTAAAAAGGAGAAGATTGTCCATTCTTCAATTTTTTATACATCATTACGTCATCATCATCACCAGCCTACTAATGTCCCCACTGCTGGGGCTTTTCCTATGGATGGAATCGACTTAAGTTGAATAGGGAGAACCACCACGCGGGCCACGTTCAGATTGGTGGGTTGGGTAGATTTTTAAATACATCAAATTACCAGAAGACGGCCTTATCGATTTGGAATTTATTATTATCTTTAATATTGTACACCTTCCAGCTTTTCTCTTTGGTTCTAATATTATGATTGGATTTCAAAAAAATCATCTAAATTTTCTAAAAAAAATTTAAGAATTTCCGATTGGTACTTGTCTACGTTTTTCAAGAAGCAAATAAAATATATATACAGGAATAATTTAAAACCACTGCGAAGATTTTGTGAAAATAAACTTTAAGTAATTTAAACAAACACGTATTTTTTATTTTGATATGTTCCAATACTAAAAACTAAAGTTATCGCTTATCAAAGATCGAGATTTTAAAACTTAATTTAAGGACACCGCGCGCCGTGCGTCAGCTGAGCGCTCGCTCGACGCCGTAGGCAGGCATGTACTCGTAGGTACCTATTTACACGGGTCACTGACCGCTCATTTTGTTAGATTCGTACTGGATTTTATGCCATGATATGAGGTGATTTCTAAGAGTAATTCCAATTTTCCCTTCATACTTTTATGGTTAAGGCCATCAAAAAATAAAAGAGAAACATTTTCGTTACCTAGAAAAAAATATTAATGTTATGCCGAAGTTACATAGGTTCTTCTGCGTTAAGGCGTATTTAAAAAAATTGGAAACAACTACGTATTTACAATAATGTTGAATCAAAACAAATACCTAACTAATTAGCTAATTACTTACCATGTATTTTAATATTTCTTCAAAATGAAGTCCACGTCTGCCCAGACATAAACGTGCACATTTCATTAAATTGTCATTTAATTTATTTAAAACACTAGTGTCACTTTGACTTTACTAAAAGCGTTATTATTTTTTATTGTTAAGTCTTCTAGACTTTGTGCCTCCTCTACATCCCGGCGTTTGACTTTTTCCCATAAGAAACAGTCCCTCACGTGTGAACAATGCCTCATCCGTCCACAAGATGTTTGCATCGCGGTGATGTAGAAGCCACTCACATAAGGCTCGACGTGGTACTGGGTCTAGGTCATGGAACTGCTGAACCAGCTGAAAGTGGTACGGATGGAGTCCGGCTGTTTTTAGCAGTTTTATTACCGCAGGTTGGCTCACACCAAAGAGACATGCCGCATCGTGGGTACTGACGCGGGACCGCGGGGTTACGGAACCCAAAGGCCCGCATACGAGGTATGCTCTTCGTCGCATACTTTCTCCGAATTGCACTTATGTAGGTTCTCACCACTCAGAAGATAAACTCGTACCATCTCGTAAAACTCACGACGGCGGGTGCGTCGCGTGCGCAGGAACGCGAGGGCACGTCACATCGGCGCGTGCGTATGAGTCTCACTGCGCCGCTAATATCGCGCGCGTCGCTCGGTCCCGGCGGGGCGGCGGGGGCTGTGGCGCGGGGCTACCGGGTGCGGCGGGGATGCACGGTGGTATACGCAAGAGAAGACGTTTTCATTGAAGTTTTATTTTAGAAAATGTGTCCATATTCTACCGTTTCGATAGGGATAAAAATATTTAAAAAAAAAATTAAACTAATTATGGGAAAGTGTTCTATTACTGATACTGAATCACCAAAACAAATTTTTGCACTGGAAAAAAAATATTCCTGTATATATATAACGAAGACACGTATTGCCCCTCTTCTCTTTTTTATAAAAAATACTATGTATACTCAGTAGTTATTGATGTGTATTGTGTGCGCAGTGATTGGGTGGAAGTGTGTGCAATGAGGGTGCAAGTTCATCCCCTGGGTTTGGTCGTGAGTCCCGCTCTAGTTCATCGACTGAGTGCTCTATATGCCGCGCTAGGGGATCTGCCGCCGACGCCTGTCGCCGGTGAGTACATCACACTATCGAAACTGAGCAGCAAAAATATTAAAAAATACTTCGTAAGAAAGAAAAATAATGTTTATCTAAAAGGTGGTTAATATTAATATCTTTTAATATTAATGGTTCTATTATATATTAACAGCCCCTCATTTTCTTGCCGGTTAATGTACTAACCGGATACGGGTATCTATGATTTAGAAATTTTTTGATTTAAGATATAAATAAATTATATATTGATAAAAAAAAGGAGTACTCGCAATATTTTTGAAATAGGTAATATTTATGATCTTTCATATGTGAAGCGCGTTTTTTGTGTGCTACGCTTTAGCATCTTTTTCACTAATGTTTAACAAAAACGAATGAAGCTTTACATGTTAGATATAATTATGTAACAAACATCCTATTTTGCAAACTTATTACTTTATTAATTTGACCAAGTAATTCGTTTGTATAAATAAAGACGAAACACGACTTATTATTTTACGCAATGGTTTACGCAAACTTACTTGAATCATTCAAAATTTTTGTACTGCATCAAATTATTAGCAATAAAACTTAAATGTGTTGTTAGTTAGTTTGTGCTATTTTGTTTTAGATCTGCCAACTCGCACGCTCACCGTAGAAGAGTGTGAGGCGCTAATGGAGAACTTGCCCCAGAAGCGTATATCTATAGATATGCGCGAAATGCGCGTGCGCATAGTGCCCTGGGATCACGCGTCCGTAGACAAGACTATGGTGCCTTTACTTTCATTGGACATAGAAGTGCCTAAAGCCGTATTTGTCATAACCGGGCCATTGTATCCGCACAGGTAAGAGTAAAACGCATTTGTCTTTCAAGTGTATTTTTAGGATCATAATTGATTTTACATGTTCTTTTACCTTCATTAATGCAGATACTGTCCCCGTGTGCATTGATGGGTGTTAACGGCTGCAAAGCCTGGACCAACGGTTTAACGTGCCTTCCGAAGCACGATGAAGCTCGATATAATAAACTTTCGGTCACACATCTTATGGCCGACCCTTGCGAATGTTGCTTAACAACCATATCTCAAACCAAGCACGTTAACCACTGCGCCGTCAACATGATTGTCTAATATTTGCTACTTAATATTGATTTTGATTCTTTTTGGCAAGGGTGTGTTCAGCGTCGTGCCAAATGCCAGAGGACTCGGGCCCACTGTGGAACGCCTCACGTTTACACGTATCGGGCACGGTGAGTTCAGCGCAAGCTCAACTGTGGACCGGGGAAGGGAATCCGCGACCGTGCGCGAGAGCAGACATCCGCTTTGCGCTACACATGTTGCTCAACAAGCACATGTTCAGCAGACGGGAGAGCGTCTTGCTCAGCTATATTTTGAAGCTTCGTGAGTACCAATAATAACAATTTACTTTATAATTGCAAAATTAAAATGCACTTTTGTGTTTTTAAACAGGATTTGGAGTGATAATTATCCCGATAGTTATCACGATTATTATCTTGATAATTGTCTTTGTAATTAAAAAACTCAAACTTGTTATTAAAAGAAAAACCATATTTGATAATTGTTTAAACATCTTTAAACAACTATCAAATATGATTTTGAGAGTCGTTTAAAGATGTTTAAACAATTTAGAAATCAACATTGTCTAGGATGGACCTATAAAAATAAAATATTAAAAGCCGGCTTTTTATTAAACAATTTTTCTTATCATTTTGTTTGTATAATTAGTATAATTTAAAGCTTGTTTATGTTTGTATAAACGTTTAAATAATTATGGATGCTTTTCTGCATTTTAAAAATTGTTGTCAGGTACTACAGATAATTATTCTATATGTTAAATCCAGGCTTAGAATTATCCGTATACCAAATCTCATTTAAATCAGTTTAGTAGTTTTTGCGTGAAAGAGTAACTAAAATACTCACAAAAATTCACATTTATGATATCAGTATGATTTTTATAATGCATTTGATAGACATATACATAATAGCGGTCGTTTGAATTTATCATCTTCATCTCCAGTTGCATATGGATGGAAAATAAAAGGTAGAAAGGTCCATAACGCACCACGCGTACTTAGCTAGTGCAGCCAGATATAGCTAGACTGAGATACAGCCACGACCAACGGTTCAACGTACTGTTAAATATATTTTTCGTACATTAATTTGATAACTATTAAACCTGCACTAAGCAATCCTCTATTGCAATAGCATTTAAGATTCATTGTTTGAGCCAGTTCTCCTACAGCCACAAACCGATACTATAAATATAAAGATATTAAATATTGTTTCCTTATAACAGTACAATACTTTCCAAAGTATGCAAATACTCAAGATAATAAATTTATGGTCAACAATCTGTGATCGATCCTTGAGTAACTTGCTTCATTTTCGCTTCTCAAGCCGAACACGCTTCCCGCCCACACAATATTGATACAATTAATACAGTAGTTTTTACTAGTTAAAGAAACACTTTTTGTTTTCTATTAAAATAAGGGATTTACTTGACTACTATAGGCGAGGTGAATGTGTGCGGTTCATCTGCTCGTCTCCAAGCTGCAAGCCAGGTGATCAGTTCGTTGATGAACGAACGTCTGTCACCGCTACTTCATCATTCCACTTTAGCAAAAGATGCGCTCAATGATGAAGGTAAGTCTATTTTAACTGTTTTTCAATTTTTTTCGTTATATTATGTACTAGCTGTAACCCGCGGCCCAAGTGGTCTGAGGGTACTGTGTGCACACTGGCCTGCTATACTGGAATCTTAAGTTATTTTCATTTAAAAATCTGCCAATAAAAGCATCCACCTTTAAATCATCATCTTTAGCTTATTAACGTAGTAGATTAGTATATATACATCAGGGTTCAATAGCCGCAATCTACCTTGGATGGCGATCAAGGAATCTGGTATGAAAAGTATTATATAACTAGGGCACGAAGCCAGAAATGACAAATGTTCTTATAAATTACACCTTAAGATAATCGCATTTCTACAAATAAATAAATTTCCTTTCATTTTATTTCAAGATAACATATATAATTTTATCGAAATAGACAAATATAGGTCACACATTATAATAACAAAGGAAACAACGACAAGAGATTTTCTCATACAATACTATGTAAAAACACGAGTATACACTTTCTAAAATAGCTAAAGATAAAATGAAATGATATAATGGTTATTTTTGGGAGACGACATTTTGAACACCCAAAATAACACAAAATATACATGCAAATGACTGCATTTAGTAATTATGCTGGTTATGTTACTATGATGTTCTTTTGTATACACCGTTTATTGTTTATATCAACAGAGTCTGTAGCAATAGACTTGACAGCGGAGGAATTGTCTCTCCGTGGTTACTTGACAGCTAACGTGAACACACACATACTATCGCTGCAGTCAGCGCGGGCTACCGCCCACCACGCACCGAGTAAGTATATATACGATTTATATGAAGACATATTATAAATTCAATATTTATAACATCGCACATTTTTTTTATTGCTACAAAAATAATATATAACCCCCGTCCCTGATATTATACTGACGTAATGTTACTTTGATATGATATTGGCTACTTATTGTTTTCAGAAGACGAAGAAGTGAAGCAAGCCTGGCTGTTCTCAGCACCAGATGTAACAACCACCACGTAAATATTATCGTCAACCGTAATATGAATTAATGTAACCGCCAAAATGGCGATATTGAGTTATATATACAGTTCGACTGCAAATTTTCCGCTCTATCGATTGGTGTATTTAAAATCTCGATATCTTGAAAAAAAATGTCGAGTACCTTAATAAAATTTTAAGTAGATTTTTTCATTTATATTAACTTTTGTGACGTATGATGCAATTTATAAAAATAGATAAACTGTAATTTACTGTAAGGGCAGAATAAGAAAATATTTTTAACGTAACTACTCAATGAATGACAATATCAACAATGGTCCTGTGTAAAAAACTGAATTTTAGAATGAAAGTTATTAGAATTGCTACTTTTAAAAATCGGATTTAAATAATGAGATAAAATACATTATGAAAGAAGACGCAGAAACTTTCCGATTTCCCATGGGTCAAGGAACTAAAATTTCGTCAGGTAAGGGAAAGGGCAAAGGAAAACGAACAACAGCAAAGAAACTGGAGCCTAATGAAAGGAGTTTGGTCGATAATAAAACTCATAATGATTTACAGAAACTGTACCGGGCACGATTACCAATTTCTACGAAAAATACATGGATCTAAAAAAATTGTGCGATGACGAAGTTATACCTAAACAGTATATTCAAGATTATTTACAGTTACCCTACACTATGAAAACTGATTTCTTAGATGACATAGGTACTTAATAAGAGGAGGAAGAGAACGTGACTAGTGATGAAGAAACTAAGGAACATAGTATAAAAACTGAAAAACCAAATAAGATAAATAAAAAAAAAGAGATAAGCTAGATACAAGAGTTTCGTGCTCAAAAATACAATGTCGTAATTTAAGAAATTCAGATTTACAACCCACAGCAATTGAAAAAAAGGAGCAACAGGAAGAAAAGGCACTAAAGGTGAAAAAGACTGCAAAGGAGAAAAAGGAAGAAAAAGCAGTAAAAATAACATTACGAAAGAGAACGGGAAGCGTTAAACAAATACAAAAGAAAAAAAGTGGTGAAGCAAAATAGAGAAAAATAATTAATCATTTCAAAGATAAAGTAGGTACTTATTTTGTTGATGAAAACAATTATGTTGGATTATTTTATTTTCTTGTTATTGTCATGAATAATTATGTTTCGATACGTGTTAATTGAAAAGTTTTCTCTTTATATCATTACTAAAACTTTGTCTACTTGCACACGATTTTTCAATTTAGATTTAGAATAATTCTATTGCCGTCAGTTTATTTCCAATTTATGAAAAAAATGATTTGTTTTTATTTGGCCTAAACTGTGCTTCTTCAGATTAAAGTTTTAGTTTATGGACATCTAAAACTAAACTTTCTACTAATCTAATGCTATTTCGATATTTTTTTTAGATTTCCTAAATTGGTTTAGTTTGTTAACTTTTTTAAAATCGTTTATTAATTATTATGAAAGTAGTAGTTATTCATGAACCCCTTACTAATAAACCCTATTTAACTTAAACAGTATTTAAAAGTGATGCTGTCCTGTTAAAGCAATATTGACATAAAAGTCACAGCATCACTTTAAATAATATCTAAGTTAAGCTAAAGCTAAACAAGGTTTATAAGTAAGGGGGTTAATTCGTAGCTGAAATGATTGTTCTTTCAGTAGATTTTTTTTAATTTATAGCTATTGTAAGTACTTTGGTACTATTTGAATAAGGAAAATGAAACAAATAGGTGCTTAATAATTATTGCATTCGGAGACTGATTTGTTTTGTAACTTTGATCTCAAAAATAATTACGATGTTATTAATTGAAAGCAATAAAACTGTTTTTCTAATGTGGCTTTTTCATACTGAAACCCTTTTTCACAAACTAGCAGTAAATGTAAAGATTATTCTATTTTAGACCTTAACATAAGAGAATAGGAATGAAAATTCATGAATCATCATACTATAACGTATATCCATACACTAAAAATAGAGTGATATACGTTAACGATTTTTATATTTTTAGTACTAAACGTTAAATTTGGAGAAATGCAATGTGAGTTACTTTAAAGCTGTTTATATTTTTTTCTACAAAAATCAAAGTAACTCGATATTTTTTCGAAAAAAGTGACGTAACCACCATGTCATCTTGGAAAATATAAAACTAGGCTTCATATGGTTTATTTATATTAATAGATCTAAACATTTTACAGAAACAGTTAAAACAGTATTTAAATCGGATTAGTACATAAAAAGTTATAACTGTTTTTGTAATTTCAATTTTGTTTTTTGGCTCTCCTGTAAAGTAGCCATTTGGCGGTTACATTAATTCATATTACGGTTGACGTTATACCCTCATATTTGTATGACAAAGTACGTAAGCAAACATTGAAAGTATGAGACATTTTTAATCACTGCGTATGTAAGCGGAATATTGTGATTTATGTTTGTTTTCTATTTATAAATCCATATTGATATTATAAAAAGGAAAGAATTGATTGTTTGTTGCTTGCATTAAATAGGCTGTTAAAAGTACTGGAAAGAATTTTAAAAAAATCTTTCACCTATATAATGGATAACTACATCAGACATGGGTGACATTGGCTATAATTTACCTGGGCGAATACAGCTAGCAATTAATATAAGATAACATTATATACGCTGCTCAGATGTAAAATTAGTAGCTAAAGGCAATGGAAATTTAAAATAACATAGGTAACACAATACCCAGACCAGAGACAATATAGAAACATTTTCTACTAACAGGGAATCAAAGTAGAGAACCCAAAGCACAGATACTGGTGTGGCAACGGTTAGCCCAGGAGATAGTTCAATATTTGAAATTAAAAATGATATCAAAGAAATTCATATATATGTATAATATTTTGAACATTTTAACTCTCCAGTAGGCACAGCAGTGAGACAAAAATTATTGGAATGAATGGTTAACATAAAAAAAATTATATTGCACAAAAAACTAAACTGTTTTATTTCTGTGCGATATGCTCAAACTTTTTATAATGCAAAAGTACTTATAAAAGATCCTGACTAATAATGAACATGCCAAAGTAATGTTGCTCTGCTTTCACGCCTAAACCACAACTGATTTTAATGAAATTTTGTATAAAGAGCTCTCTCTCTCTCTTTCTCTATAAAAGGAGTTGGTATAGAAGTTCGTTATTGAAAGCGGACGAAATCGTGGGCAAAAGCTGAACTAAATAAATAATTATCTACTTCTCGTCAATAAGATAATGTTTGAATGCATATTTTTTGCAGTCCATACTTACGGTTCGCAGTGCAGTGGTGTAAGTTACCGCCGTCCAGCTGTTTGGAGTACCTAGGTTTATGGACGGAGCCGATATCATTCTGTGTTGACCCACTGTTCATAGCGTGGTTAGCTTACAAGCCCACCGTTATCCCTTATCGTGGTGAGATGAATTTTTGCATATATTTTTTGAATTCAAGAAATATTGTTGTCAGTTACAGCAACAAATTTGCGTAAATGCACTTAATGTATAATCATTTAAATAAATAACTATTTTATTTACATATTTCTATTGACAATAAGTTAAGACTTCGTAGAAAATTAAATTCCGTAAATATTTACTATTTTATATTTATTTATATTCAGTGAAATTTACCTGTATATATATTTTTTTATATACAGTGCATATCTAGTACGGGTACTCAATGGTATATTGATTACATAATTCAAAAGGGTTTCGACAGTAATATAATGATTTATTGTAAATCGAACTTCAAAGCCAAATGGGGCTCGCGTGTGGCGGGTTGCTAACCAATGGCCTAGAACCTTTTAAGTTTGGATAAGGTAGTGATATTGTACGATATTTTTGAGTTTATGTCCGTTACCTTCCACCAATATATTTTTAATTAAAATAGTTTCTTATTTATTATTATTTTATGTTTATACTTGCTGATATATGTCATTTAACTAGCTTTATGTATATTTTGACAGAATCTCACACGCAGCTTAATACTAGTGCCAGTCAGTATGGGCTGCGACGTCGGCCTACTCCTCCGGTATTATTTTTTATATTTCTCAAAGTATACTTCGATTAATAATACATCTAGAGGCTCGGCCAGTCTCAAAAATGGCCGAAGAAAAAACGCCTCACCTTTTATTATAGGGAGTAATCACTTTCTTCTCAGAGTTTCTTTCGCCAGTTTTTCTCAGACAAGACTATAATTATACGTATATTTTACTAAGAAACCTAAAATTGACAATGCAACTTAATACTTACCCAGTTTCGGAGCTCAGTTGTCATCTAGAGTATTATCATAGAATATTTTCTGTCGCAGTGTATAAACGAATTCAGAATGGTGTGTTATTTTTTAAACTAATTTTATACTTTATTATCTGGATCATCATCATCATCATCACCAGCCCTTTTACGTCCCCACTGGAGGGGCTCAGACCTTCCTTATGGATGGTTAAGGAGGATGGGCCATGCCCCTCCACGCTGGCCCAATGCGGATTGGAGGGTATTAACGACTGCAAATGCAGCGGGTCCAACGGCTTAACGTGCCTTATTATCTGGATATTAGTTTATATTCATAATAAACAGTTGCTGCAGATGATATTTTTCAACAAGTGAATGAGATATCGACATAAACAAAACTGAGCCTTATGATTTGTAGTTAAGGCATATTATGTTAGATTGATATTTTTTCTGATATTTGAGTATATTTTACTACTTAATATTTTTAGGATGGTGCCGTATTTGAGTATTGTTTTAGTATGCGAGGCGTTATCTAGTTGTATTGTTGATCGAAGAAAGTATGCAAACAAACTGTAATTAGTGCCGACTGAAAGACATTAAACATCAAGTTTATCGTTACTAACATTATTTTTCTATGCAGTAGAAGTAGTATTTATGTAGCACGAAAATATTATGACCACATCACATATTTTGCTCAGATTCTAACATAAGTAGCTTAATCATTTGTATTGTGGAAATCTGAAACAACGAAGATATATTCGTTTACGTTTCATAAGTAAAAAAAAAGATATACACTGACTTAAAGAGTACTCTAGGCTTTAGAGTAGGCTTTGTTAATAAGCTCATATGTATACATACGAAATAGAGCAGAGGTGGCAAACCTTAATGTTTCAAATATTACAATAGATGTTTAATGAAGCTATAGACGGGCCATAAAATAATCTTGATTTTGTTTTAATTTGGGAAAATTGTTCTACAAATATTACATATTACCTCTAAGCTCTTTAAATCAAAGTAATATTAAAGTGATTTCTGTCGTTCTAATTTCTGTCTTAATAAAAATGTCATAGTTAACTTTGAGAACTGTGATGCCCAAATTTTTGTGTCATATTAGCTTATCATACCTGATATACGGGTATACTACACAGTATATTATATACAATTCTATATAAAAAAGAGTGTTGTTGATCAGTCTTCCAGCGGTCGCGCGGGTAGTCGCGCGGGATCTGGCGCCGAGTTGGTTCACGTGCGTCCGCGCAGCATCGGCTCCAGCAGTGAACCGAGCGAACAGAAACAACCACCAGCCGCCGTGAGTTACATATTTGATAAAGACTTTGGTATTTAAATAAGTACTGTGGATCCAGCACTAGTGAAATTGACACATTTTGGTCACCTTCATTTTATTCCATTCTGTCTCGTTCCATTCCATTTAAAAATGATATAATACCTACTACTCTTTTTTGTTCTATTCCATATATTCTATAATATCCATTCCTTTATTACATTTATTTTGTAAGTCGTTATTATTTACTCCCCTTTTATTGCATAATAGCTTTCGGTCAACGGCTTCGTCCGCGTGCTCCTATGTTATAGATAAAACCTTCCTTTTGAATTATTGTATATCGATGATAACAGCATTAAAAACCGTTGTGCTATTTAAAAAATCTCAGCGTACAGACAGCGGAAAGCTATTTTGTTTAATTTTAAGTACTATTACTAGTGGAGTAGAACCAGTAAAATATTTTTTTTAACGTAAAAAGACACACAGGGAACCCGTAAAGGATCACTGCCTTTTCTGTCTGTCTGTACTTTACATCCGTTATTTCTGTGAGCATTAAGGTAGCAGGCACACCAACGAGTGAGGGTCTTTTATATTAACATAAATTGTAAGCAAATAGTGACACTTAGTGATACAAAGCATGTAATTAGTGACACTGTAAATTAAGAGATATTGGTAGATCTTAGAGTACCTGCTAACTAGACTTCTAGGTAGCAGGTACATTAGAAATACTTATAAATAGTTATACTATACTAGTTTTAATTATATGTCAAAAAATTGTGACTTTTTTTATACCATTTTTATACCATGAACTTTCATTTTTCAATCACTTCAATAGAATACAAGATATTTCTGATTATTGGTTTAACTGCTAAAGGGTGGGACTTTAAAGCTAATAAATACACAAAACTGTTATGACTGAAATTATGATTCTCGTGTTACATAGTAAGAAGTAATAAAGATGAGATCATGAAATTATGCAAAATTTACGGATATAATAATAATTAGTATCATAATGTCTTATCAGGCAAAACCGGAACCTAAGTATTGGGATGGAGAACGCGTGGTTAACATTCACACACGCTTGCGTCGATCTCTGGTGAACATAGAGCTGGGTATGGTGCAAGTGTACGCGACGAGCGGCACCGCATCCGCTCTAGACTGTGCCACGGTACACGACGCTATGGAAAGACACGCCAGATATAACGAACCGGTGTTAGCACTAAGGTGAGTTATGCTCCTTCATTCGTTTAGATCATTTAACTTATTTTCAACAATTTTTTTTTTGCTAACTTCACAAACAAATAATCATTCTCTTTCTGTTCATGTTCATTACAATTTACGTTGCGTTCCTCGTCAAACCTTACTCTCGAAATTCCTAGTCATTATATTTATTGCCTTTCCTATACATAATATTATTATATGTATACATTATTTTGATATATTTGCTATTTATTTGTTTATTCTTCTCAATATTGCACCTACTTTCCATAGTATCTTTATTCTTTATCCATTTTCACCATAGGTTGCCTGGAAGAGATTGTTTTTTAGCTTTAAGGCTGCCATTTGTGTACTTATTCCGTTAAATAATGAGTTCCTGTAAACTATGTTTCACATTGAGTGCAATAAAGTATATTATTGCTGGTAGTGAGAGATGACTACTTACCGTTATTATTAAGAGGTGGAAAATAAATTAATTACTTTTATTTCGTAGGGCTCGAATTTACATTTCATATGAAATTTCACCACATTCGCTTTTCATCTAACCCAAAAGTTTAACTGGCCGTAACGGAGTCACAATTTGTGAGAGTTAGTGCTCGCTGTTTGTTTTAATTTGTCGTATTCTTTAATCGTCAGCTTTTATTAATCAAATAGTTAAACAACTTATCCAGAAAACATTTTAATTCATTAAAAAGAAAAAACAATTATCCATATGACAAGTTACAATTAGATAAACGATGGTAACGGGCAGTAATGGTGAAGAATTGTAATTAGACATTGGCGTTTTATTTTATTTAGAACCTTTTCTTCTCACAGCTTAGGTCGTGTTTCCATGCACTCAAACTCGACAAAAAAACATCTTTGGCAAGAAATTAGACATGATGGTCCCACCTTCATCAATACTTCCACTACAACTGATAATAGTAAGTGATTGTATAAGAAATTTACAGTAGCTACTAGCTGTTACAAAGTCGCTTGCGATGCGGTTATCTCCAGAAATGACTTAGTAACAAATAGATTTACTTTTTTGTAATTTTATCATTTTGAAGTTATGTAATAAAACTTGCTTAATTTTAATTAAAGTGAACGAAGCATCAAGACAACATGTAATTGTATAAACCATTTTGAACAAAATAATATTACAATACATTTATATTAACATTAATAACTAGTTATTTATGTTTACTTTTCACATAGACGTTTTTTTTTTTTTGTTAAGTGATAATGCACAATGTCGTTATTACATTTTAGATGAGCTTAAATTATAATAACGATGTAATTTTTGAGAATTTTAAATAAATAAATACCAATTGTTTGGTATTACTCCACAAGCTGAAGAAGACTCGTTTCCGTGGAAGTTGCGTTTGGCGGACATGTCTTGCTACATACTCGGTCTTCGTGCGGTGACGGAGCAGTCGAGTCGGGAGTTTTCCCGGCAGCGGTCCCAGCTCAAAGTCCCGGACACCACAGTCAAGACAGTGGTGGAGATGGTCACTACTACTGTCACTCTGTCTGTAGTCACGAAGTCCCTGCAAATCAAGGCTAACGTGAAGAAAGAGAAGACCGGAAAGATGGATGCTGACACTGATGACGTAAGTTTAAACAATATGTCCAATTACTGTAATCCATTTTGAACTTAACTAGCAACGAATAAAGGTTTACAATCAACTAGTGAAATTTAATTTTTATTATTTACAAACTTCATGTTCATTTTCAGAAAACAAAATATTTTACTGCCGGCACGGACTTCAAACCGTCGACACTGAAGGAGTTTTTTAGAGGCCCTGCTAAGTATGAAGAATTAACATGTTAAGTCTAATAAGAAATTGATCAAAATCAGTTATTTTACTTTTATATTATTTTTTTGCAGAAGGAGAAAGTCAAGTACTACAGTAAGTTGCACATATTTATTAAATTAAAACGTTTCTATGCAATTGGCTAGTTGAAATTTATGTGTAAATAATGACTTTGTAGTATTTCTTACTCTAAAACTAATTGTAAATATATTTTGTTTTTGTAAAATTGTTATTTGCGATTTATAATCAGTGGATTATAAGAACTGAACTGCGAGCGGCCACGACCGAGTATCGTGTGATACCAGATTTATATCTGAAATACTTTCCCCAAAATAGTCTACTAGCCAGTTTAATAATTTTATCTAACGCTTGTTATTCCCTGACTTTGCCCAACCGCGTATGATGTAGCTTAATGCAGGTGAAAGAACTTTTAAAATAAGCCCGTTAGTTTCTGAGCCTGTTCAATTCAAACAAACAATGCAAACCTTCCTCATTACAAAACTAGTTTAACACAAGTGCTGACAAGAAATTTATTTAAGTAAAATAAGAAACTTAAAATTCCTTAGCAGCCGATGCCAATACTAATCATGTTTTTATGAATATTTAATAAAGGCTTGTCTGTGTACTCAATTGTATTATTTCGTTAAACAAAAATGCTCTAATTATTCAATAAATTGTGTTTGTGTATTTAGAATGTTGCTGAGACACCAGATAAGGAATCTAATATGCATGGTCCAGTTTTGAGGAGTGGCCCGTTGGTATCTCTCGGCGTACACTTGCATGCTGATACGCCGCCTATCATAGTGAGACTGGATCATGAACAGGTACAAAATTACACTAACCACACGATGCCACTGTTGAATAATAAAAAATCTTACATGTTTATATATGTTCATGTATATTCCAAGATAAGTAGTTAAATCCTCCCAGTGTGGAGTATCTGAGACAACGAAGGTAGCACTATACCAAGACCCGAGACGATATAGAAAAGTTCTCTTTCTACATCCACCCGACCAGGTATTTGGATACCTGGGACCTTATATAAAATATACAAGAAATCATATTTGCGAGTTTGTATTAGTCAGAGGTTCTCATATGAATCATGGTGATTTAAATTATGTTGAGTTGAATTTTGCCTACCTATATAAAGTTGAAATAAATCGAGTCTAGAGATTATTCAAAATCATCACTAAGCTATTAGTGGCAATAAAATTGTTGATAAGTTTGAGCTTATTAGGTTGAGAAGTCAACTTCATCTTACAGCCACTCACTAATCACATGATTCTAATTGTCTTATTCCACTTAACTACTCACGGCCGGCTTTAGAATTACTATAAGGTTTAAGATAGATAAAACTAAGTATGATAATGACCGCAGGTTCATTTGGTAGCAACGGCAGTGCACGGTGTGCAGCACATATTGGTGTTACTACAACGAAGACCTGTAGTACCCACAAGGATACCGTCGTATACTTCTATAGGCACCTCCCGACGCTCCCTAATAAGGTATATATTTTCACATACAGTATACCGTAGCAATGCCTTTTTTAAATGCCATCAATAAACGTCAAGATCACATTTAGTTGGCCAGGATAATTTGTCATCTATACATAATATGAAGCAAAGTCGCTTCCTTCGTCTGTACGCTGATATCTTGTAAACTGTACAACGGATTTTAATGAAGCTTTCATCAATATACTAGAGAAAGGCTTATATGTACAAGGCCACCCGGGCGAAGCAGCGGAAAGCTAGTATATGTATAAACAGTGGCCTAATTGTCTAAAAAAAATATTTCACAAATCGCTTTGAATTTGACAGACATTCGCAAATTTCACACTATATGTGACATGTGAACGCATTTGCGATCGCGACATTTTTTTGAAACATATTGAATGAACGATAACGTTAATTTGACGTAAATCGGAATTGTCTAAGCAGATTGATTGTTACAAATACATTTAAAATCTATTGGGTAAAGTCAAATGAAAGCATTGAACACTAACTGCAATCTTTCGACATTTTATGTAGTCTTTTATTGTGTTTTTTATTTTTTTGGTAAGGATGTACTTTATATACATTTAAAACCCAATAACGCTCATGATTATTATTGTAGAAATAACAAAATCACTCGTTACGGTGGAAAAAATACTAAGAATACTTACTTGATTGCTGTTGTATTTGCAACTACTTCACAAAATGATTATTTTTTAACTACCACAAAATTTGCAAATTTCCCTAAGGTGACTTTTACAAGATGTAAATAAATTCCTCCAGTGCTGTGTTACCGATTTTTTATACGTGGATTTACTCAGAACTCTACATACAATTCTTTTTAACAGCTATTAAAAAATATTTTAAAATTAAATGCCTAGTTTATCCAACTTTTCTGACAGATGTTGACATGACGAGCTTTGGGCTTCAGCGATACCTCCTACGAATCAATACTTTTACTTGATATCTACTAGTATAGAAGTTATAAAGTGCCTTTCCTTTGTCATCATTTTTAGAGTAGATTTGATACTATTAATAATCAATAGATATACTCTGTTTAACGAAGAAAAAGAAGTAGGTCTAGAAAGTATTTACTATGTATTTAGTTAGATATTTCTAACTGCATAAAATTAGTAGGGGTTAGTAATCATTAGTTAGTCATTAGACAGGGCCGCTGTGCCTGTGGGACTTTTTCATAAGGACTTAATAGACATTAATAGACTTAAGACACCATAACAAAGAGTAAACAGACTGATGCTCACGAATTTTTGACACTCCTCAGTAGTGATACAAACACTTACTTATTTCACGATACTATTAACTACTCGGTTCTAAAGTATCGATGCTATAACTATCAAAGTGTATTTACTCGTATCATCCCTAGACGAGCTGACATAAAAAACGCTCTTGGTGCGTTTTAGTAGTACGATAATACGATGTTTTTGTTTATGTTTTTTGTTGAAATAAAACGTTTTCTTCATCTAACGTATGAAACGATTTAACATTCTATTATTTTTTTTATATGAATAGAATATATTTAGTCTTTAGTCGAAATAGAAGAGTTAATTACAATCGCACAAAATCGTAAAGATTATTTCACAACTTAACAAAACGAAATGAATTATCTATGACATTCTATATCATTCAAATCATCATTCGTTCCGAAAGCAATTATTGTGACTTTAAATATTACGCAATTCCATAAATCACTATCACAACCGTAATACGTTTGAAAATGATAATTATAGATTTTAAAATTAGACAATTAAGCCACAGGTGTATAACCAACACAATTTTTTTATAATGTGTAAATGTATATGTTTAATGTTAAGTCTACAGTTATTTGTGGAGGCTTTTAATTAGTTCTTTATAAAATAGATCGTAAGCAAATGAGTAATCTAAACAATTAGCCCTAATAAAATTAAAAAAAAAATAAAACTAACCGTAACGCTATCTGGCGCGTGCTATATGTAACTCGTGGTTTCATTTGTTCTTTTTTTTGTATCTAAAGTTTTAACTGTAAAATTATATACATACTGATATGTAAAAATTTTTGTGCTTCAGAAAATTTTTGTGTTTCAGAAAAGAGCAATTCGATCAATTTATAATCTTAGGATTAGGGACTCTTTAAGGGAGAAATTTAAGGAAATAGACATTATGACTGTTGCTAATCATCAATACATTCTTTACTGAGTAACTTACATGTACGTTCGTAACAAATCATTAGTTTGCCCTGTCTCCCAAATTAGGTTGCCCTGTGTGTCACGAGTCAGTGCTCTCTTAAGTATTACATTTTGGCTTATGCATATTAAATTAACGGTGCCTGTCACTAGACTGCAAAAAGTTAATAACTCTTTCAAGGGTCTTTGTGTGCGCTTCTACAATAAGGTCCCAAGCAAAATACAACAATTAGATATCATGCAGTTTAAATCTACTATTAAAAAAATACTTATTAAAAAAGCTTATTATAAGGTATCCGATTATATAACAGATAAGAACGCTTGGACTTGAGATGATCCAGCAACTGGATAGGTGATTACTTCTAAACTCATTATCTTGTTTCCATTATTATTAAATGATTATGTTATTATTATAAGACCATAGTTTTTTTTTTATTTTTATCTCTGTTTATAATGTATTGATCTGGTAATGACATGGTTTTTGTAAATGTCATTACTCTTATTAGAGCTGGTGAGTTTCTTGCTCGTTCTTCTTATCAGCCAAAAGACGTCCTGAACGAGTGGTAGGGAAAAAATGTTGGACGATTCAAAAGTACTTTTAAGAAGTCTATTTGAATAAAGATTATTTTGACTTTGACTTTGACTTATGTTATTTATTGAATCTTTTCTGCCCATAAAATAGCAAGTGGTGGACCTAATGCCATAAAGAGGTGCCTTTTTGTAAATCCAAAAGTCGGTATCAGTAAAATAATAGTATGACCTAGTTTATAATGAAAAAAGTTTGGATTAGTCTGGATTTTTAACGAACTACCTATACAAAATGCTATAAGTTGAATTAATTTCCAACGAGTATTAAGACTTATAAAAAACCATTAATAAAGAAGCCGAAAGTGTGCAGAAAATTAAATTTTTATTTTAATATTTCAGATCTGTCTCAGAAATAGAAGAACTTCGAACACCATCAGAGGAAACGCAAAGTGAAAACCAATCTGAGAATCGTTCTGAGTTAATACCCATTTTTGAAGCTCATAGTGCGAGTAAGCGTAAGTAACATTATTGTTTTTTATTACACCTTCATTCACCTAACAATACATATCTATAATAGAAAACTCATTAAAAAACGACTGCTCCAAGTACCAGATTAAACACAAACTAATGACCTATATGTATATAATTAAATGACAATATTTCTATTTTAATTCAATTTAGTACAACTTCACATTAAAGATCGTTTTATTGAATGAATGAATAGAAAAAAAAATTGCCAGACCATTCACCTGGTCAGTGAGAGGTCGCTGATTCGAGTCCAAGCGTGGACAATATGCGAAAAATGTTTGTTTTTTCAAGAATTTATATAAAATTTGTTGTGTTTTTAATAAAAACCTATTTTTGTAGAGACTGTGAAATTGAAAATGTTCTTCTGGTTCCAATGGGTGGTGAGTCGCGCTACCCTAGTGGTAGCAACTAGAACGGTCAAGCTAGCTTTTGATATGGACGACATTATATCTACAGTTGACTTGCAGTCACATTATAGTCAGCTCAAGGTCAAGGTCGCTTCTGCATCCGTAAGACACTATGAAAGGTCTGTTATTTTTTTTTATTAAATAACTATATTGAATCAAGTTGATTCCAAATTCAAATCCAACCCTTAATTCCGATTGGGCATTAAATAATAAATGTTTTGTGATTATCATATTGAAAGTTGCGATTTATTTAATTTAATGTAAGAAAAAATATTTAATTTTTTATTTTTCAAAAATCAAGAAGATTTGTGTCATAAATTTTTTAGGACTGGCAGCTACGACTGGACGGCAGGTGTACTGGGAGGCAGAGTGCTGGAAGCAAGAGAGCCGACAAATGCTATAGAAGAGAACCATTTCATGTCCATCACAGTCACTCAAGCGAGGTGAGATGCAAATTAGAGATAGCCGTATGTTCATGTAGTATTCGATACTCAGAATTCTTGATAAATTTTAAGAGTCTCTTATTTGTCCGAAGTACGTAGTTAAAAAGCAGAGTATTCGCTGAAATTGTGCATAACTATTTAAACACCAAATACTGCTGAATATTTCGTGGACTCAGTATATATTTTATTAAAAAGCACCGAGTGTTAGTGAGACGGATAGCGAATGCATTATTCTACCTTATAGTTATTGAAACAAGACTCACTTTCAATTTTAACCGTACGTTCGATCATCGTCAAATTAATAGGTCTGCTCTGCGCAAAGGAAGATTCACCATGCGCCATATTTGTTGGAACTTCCTATATATGGGTACTACAAAACTGGTACTACAATTAGTTTTTTAGTTAATTCAAACAGTTGTACATTAGAATTTTCACTTTTGTCACTGAACGGTAGTACGAATATTTGTTTAACACTTATTGAATATTTTTATTTCACATTAAGCTATTTCGATTTCAATATGTCGTTATGCGTTACATTAAAACATTTTTATATTTTAAAGGATTTCTAATTTACCTGCTAATTGGAAAGAAGAACTTAATCCGAAACTGCTCGAGGAAAAGGTTAGTATTTCTTATTTAATAATATAACTAACATAAGTACGAAAGTTCATAAAAATAAAATAAAAAATACCTTGTTTACATTCTTTCTTAAAAAATAAAATCATCAAATTAAAACCCTGGCCCCATTGAATTTCAAAATGAATGAAAATTTGTATTGTTAGTTTACTCATAAATAAAAAATTATACATCTTTAGACGATTCTAACTAGACATTGGTATTTGAAATCAAGATGAAATTCTACCAGAACTGTTTTATTAAATACTAGTTATTTTTGTAGAATTATACGATTCTACTATGTCTGTAACTATTATGTGTGTTAGAATACGGACACTATGTGGGAGATATATGCTACTGTGGCACCGCTTGAGGCAGTTTTGCAGCCCGAAGTGTTAAAGAACATAGTTTCATTGGCTCACGAGTTTTCTCCGCGCTCATTTTGCCCGCTACAATCTGAAGTAACTGAGACAAGGTAAGAAAGGTTTTATTCATGAGATTTTGTATTTAATTGAAATTTTCTTACTTGAACATAACTAGGAGTTACTTATTTTTACGAGCATTTAATTAATTTGCCTTGTTAGTATGTTACTTAGTGCACAAATCTTGTAATTTAAATTTGATTCACTTTCCAATGTAAGTCAGATGACAATGCGATATTAGGTGTGAGTAAGCTGATGAAATCGCTAATAAAATCGGAGACGAGGAAATATACATATTATTTATGCGCTACAAGCTTTTCAAGTCGATTATTGTTAGTGAAAATTTTTATTATAATTACTTTAACATTAACGTTATGAACTTAAGACAAGTTATTATTTACTTAAAATTATTATTTACGTTTTATATTTTTTTATTTAGTGGCCTTTTATCTATATCTATTTTATGATAGTACCGTCGAGTGTAGTTGATGTCACGAGACTATAGTATGTAATTGTAATAGCAAGCGATTTCATAGTCTAATGAAGTCATTTTTCAATTTGAAACAAAAAAGGGGGGATATACCATTACCGAGTTTCTTGGTAGTACAAGGCCGTAGATTCAAATCTATCTAAATTATTATCTAATCAACTTGTTGCTAGAAATGTTATTTCTAAAGTATTTAAACTTGATGATGCGGATAATCGAAGAATGTATTGTCAACTGTTTACAGAATAACCAACTGGCAGTGGCCGATGTGCTATGTGAACGCTGGCGGGTTACGGTTACTTCTTACCAGTGAAGAAAACGGCTGCATCAACGATGACACATTCATATTCCAAGTACGTACTCTGATGTACCCTTTATGATCATCCAGGGTCGATACTACCGTTGTTGCTTTTCTATTTCTTCAATAAAACTCGGTATCAAACAACACGGTTTGTACGATTTCACCCATGTAAATTACAGCCTATCATCCGCGCATGATATAGCTTCCTGTAGAGAAAGAATGTTCATGATCGGATCAATATTTCATTAAGATTACCCATTACAAACAAACAAAGTTAGAAACTTTATTTCGTTACAATATTAGTATTGATAAATTACCTGTGCAAATATCGTTCGTCTTCAAGTTATTAATATTGTCACTGTTGATTCTTTCTCTGTGGATAGAAACACATGCATTTAGAGTCATCTATATAATATTATAAAGAGATTTTTTATTCTTTGTTTGTTTGTTTCTATGAATAGGTTTGAAAATACTGGTCCGTTTTTTGAAAATTCTTTCAATTACGGGAAGATTGATTTGAAAGTTAATGAAATCTAGAATGGCTTGTTAGATTATAATGCCTATAAAAGTAATGCGTCATATTTACGGTTACATATACATCTATACATCTTGCCATCTTATAGAAAATAAATATTTTAATGTATAGAAAATTGCAATATTATCAATAAAAAGATTAAAGGACTTTTGAAATGAAATAAGAAATTTATTGTAATTAGGTTCGTGTGGTGTTTTTATGTGCTTGTTGTTGGCATAGAACACTTACAGTTCACTAGGTAATGACGTCATAAACACTTGTCTAATCTGGGCTTTTATTTTCCTTTCGAATTATGTTTAAATGAACTCACTAACATGCGTAATGCTTGATTGCTTTTTCAGATAAATAAACTGACGGTAAATCCATATCCAGAGAATCCAATCTGTCGGTGAGTTCAGTATTATTTTAAACTAATAAGTTACATTGTTTATTACTTCTACATATTTATATATTAAAGGTTTCATAGTCTAGTGTCTCATCCAGAATCAATAGCAATCTGTATTTTGTGATCTGAATTGAATGCTGTTAAAGAAGTATTTACAAGGAAAAAGTCTTCATGTTCTTTTCAAGTATTTTTTAATTCTAATGTATATGTAAAGTTCTAGCTGACGATTCTTGATATTTATAAACCATCAACTGTATATTAGAAATCAATAATGTAGCCTACCTTGCTGGTCATATAGTACAGACTTACAAAAGTAAGCAAAAGTCTTACGTTTATATCACATACATTATTATGGTTAAAATTGCTATTTGCTTGAATTGACAAAGGGAAGTAATCAAAAGCTGTAAGAAGTCATTCGCTGTACAAAGTTTGAAAAATATTCAACGGCTTTCTGTTATAACCTATTTATATAATCAATATTTAGATAAATTTTGAAAATAAATAAGTACAAATCCTCAGTATAATTTCTTTGATGTATACGAGTTCTTTTTCCGTGCTCAATGTCACTCGCCATCCTTACAATGAATTATTATGGCTTATTTATAAAGGCCCACAAGGCCAGCATCCGAAGTGCGGCTGATTTCTGTGGGCTTATATGGAACATAACGCAATGTAGCATCATATGGCAATACATGAACGGAAGAAAGAAAATCGCTTATTTTCAATTGTAGTAACTCAATTATATTCGTGCGGTTTGTGATATCAATACGATGTAAAAAAAAAACTGTTACAGTCGTCCAGTGAATACAGCTGCGGACGTGAATTGGCTGGGCAGTACCGGACTGCTAGAAGGGCAGCAGTACGAGGTGCTCGTGCACGGCTGCGGTATACGTTCCGCACAGCTGCACCAGCTCGCCTGCCAAGAGGTATTAATAATAATAATAATTGTTTTCTTACATGTATGTAGATTCTTATTAAGTTAATATTATTTTAAAGTATAGTTTCTAGTAGTGATGCGCCGAATAGTGATTTCACCGAATAAGCGAATACCGAATAATATTCGGTTTAACTTTTACCGAACTTGATATTTATTGAACACATTCGTCATAGGATTTATATTATTATTTCTTGATAGTGAAAAAAGATGCCGAATACGCTTAATACCGAATACCAAACGAATATTCGACGCATCTCTAGTTTCTAACTATATTAGTATTTGTTTGTAGGGAAATACTGATCCGATCATAAAAAATGTTGTACGGAAAGCTACATCACACGCGGCTGACATGGGCTATAATTTACGCGAGTAACTATATTATCTTGTCTTGAAAATACTTTATTAACATATTGGAACAATATTGACGCAGGTTAGCGAAAACGAACTGTTGAAAGGAACAGGCGGCGAGAACCCCGCCCTCAAGTGGACACAGCCCGTGATCTCCCCGATTATCACACCTATGTTGCACAAGTAGGTCTTTATTATTTATTAATAATAATTAATTTTTCAAATAAAACTAACACAAAAATAACAATCATATCCTTGCGTTTTAAGTTTTTAATGTTTATATTTAAAAAAGTAATCATTGAGCAACTGAATAAGTTGCTATGGTTTTTAGTATATTAAAGTAAGATATTTTTATTGAAATATTATAATAGTCTTTATTACACTCAAAATTTAACATAAAAACAAGTATTTAATGTTCAAATTTTAAAATGATTTTTTATTGTAATAATTACAACAATTTCATATTTATTTTAATAGTAGTCAACAAACTATTGACTAACGTGTACGTCAGGTATATCTTAAATCGCAAAGCCATAAACATCTAATAGAAGGTGAAACAGAGACAAAAGAGTGAATTATAAATCTTATTTTTTTATTATTACCACAGTGTGGACATTAGCTGCGTATTAGCGCCGGCGATATATTCGAGCGACGTGTTAGTGAGCGGGCCAGCTGTTGAACTAAATTTAGTGTCAGACTGTGCACTGGACGTTAGTATAGAACAGTTGCGACTCGCATCGGTCGTACTGAAAGATTTGGTGGACGCCAGGTGAGTTACGACCAATAATTTTGCAGTTATATGATAAAATCAGAGATTAAAATATTTAAAGCTAAACCGATTTTAACATCCCGAAGTAAATAATGAAAGTAAAATGCTTCAAAAATCCACCAGCCCCAGGTATCTTGAGATGGGACACAAACCCACGACCTTTCGCTCCTGACGCGAATGGGACGGGACCGACAAATTTTTCAACTACTCTTCGCTACTAGTGAGCGTATTTTCATCAATGTTCAAGCAATCCATCCAAGCAGTTAAAAGAAATATTTTAAACTTTAAGGTTAAGATGAAAAATTGTTCTAATTATTACATTTTATCAATTTTGCATTTGCAATAGCAATGCAAAATACTATTACTGAAAAATATTCTTTCTTTGTGAAAAATACTTAAAAATGTCAGGACCTGGGGCTAGCGAATTTTTCAAGCATTTCATTAATAACATTTATAAGTATAGCTGTGAATGCAAAATTGAAAAAATATTAGTCAAAATCTTCTCTTCACATGTATTTGTACTAGAACCTACTAATTTAATATGAAATTCATTAATGGCATACTAAAATATACTTTTCTTGTTCCAAAAATGCTTGAATTTAAGTTATTAAGACGATTTGATAGTTCTAACAGTGAAATATTCAATCTATTTTTTAAAAACGAATATATGTCTCAGGCCTAATGAGTTGTTGTTCGAAAAAAACGAGTGTGATGCCTGTCCGTTTGCTCCGCTACTGATGCGCACTGCCGATATACGACCAAACACCAACGAGAATATATTTACTGAGGGTGAGAAAAAATTTACTTGTACTTTCAATTTATTTAATAAATTTTGGGTTCACATTTATTTTAAAAAGAAAAAATCGTATTGTCTAGATGGAATTTGAATACTATTTCTTCGTTCTCCATGTCGGTCATTAGTTTGTAAAGATTATTTTCTAGTTCCGATAACAGATGGCGCTAAGTGTACCCTGAATCGCGCTATAGTTTAGTTTTGACGAACGTAGTTATTACAACGGATCTCGTTTTGTAGTCACTGATAACTTACGTTATCTCACTGCTGGGGTATATAGGCCTTCCCTATTAGTCGAAAGACTAAAATTTTTGAATATACGCAAGCATTTAGAGTGCTTACGCGTATTTATAAAACTATAATTGATATCAGAGGTTTCGAGGAGAGAAAAATTTGATAGTAGCGAGGCGCTACTTTATTGAACAAATTAATAAAATGATGTGTATTTTTCTAAATTTTAATTTTTTTGGTTAATTTATAGAAAATTAGCTGTTTTCCCGCAACTTCTCTCGCGTAAATTAAATATATGTGACCCGCGTATTAAAAGCTTCCCTTGCGTGGCTGAAACACTTTGTCCTTGGCCCAATAATTTCGGTGCTTAATCAATGCAAACAAACAATACATAATACGTTATTCTATAAAAACAAGCCTTCAATAATATGTTCAAAATGTTAACTTTGTACAATGTATAAAGTGATAAAAACATGCTTTTGTCTTATAAATATAGAGGATTTAAATAAAATTAAAACGAAAAGAAACAAATCCAAGGTACATATAATTATAAAAAAAATAGAAATAAAAAAATTCTTAAAATAAATTGTCGATTCTATATTCGAATATGGACCTGGAGTTCTTATCTCGACCATAGAGATGGGACGTTAAGAGAATTGCCGTCGACGAAACAAAGCCGTTCATGGACCTTGATCGATTAACTAGTTAATTTTAACTATAGTTGTACGAAACTACGTCGACGGTATGCACTTTGGATGAAGGTTAACGGTTTCAATGGTTTAACTTAACCGTATATCAATATTGAAAAGTTAAAATTATTAATCATCTGTAACTGGTGATGATTTTTTCGTGTTATTGTAGGAATACCTATTCTTAGGCAGGTTATGGTTTTATTTTGTACTTATGTGGTTATGATGTTAAAACTTGACAGTTTCATGTGTTTTTATTGTCAAAACATAGCGCTAGTATTCAAATGAGATGTTTTTTTAGGGTAAAGCGAATCCCTATTATTAAGTATTTGCTGTCCGTCCGTTTGTCACCAGACTTTATCTCATGAACCTTGACAGATAGATAGTAAAAATTTTCACATAATATGTATTTCTGTTGCCAATATATGAACCGATACTAAACACAGAATAAATATTTGCTTTTATTTAACATTTTTTTTTAGCTCAATATCGATAATTGCAGAAAGTTGACGCTTGAAATATTTACAAAAGATTTGGTATCACTTCAGAAATAACTAATTGAATTTAAATAAAACAAATACTCAAGTGGGCTCCCATACAAATACAACAGACTTGATTTTTTGCCGTTTAATAGATAATGGTAACTAAAAAAAAAAATGGTACGGAGTCTAACGTAGCCGTCGCACCTAGCCGTTTTTTTAAACATACAGTAAAAAGAAATTTTATTACGATAAACATTTTCTTTAATATGATTATTATTTTAATTAATTAAAATGATAAATTATATTCTCCAAGGATAACTTAATGGATCACCTTATAATTCGTATGCAAATAAAAGAAGCAGTTTACTATGATAGAAATAGTTAACTCATACTAAGTAGTAAAATTAAAATTATTAACACCGCCATGTCACAAATCATATAACACCATCTATCGGGGACTAACATAAAAACACAATCAATTAAAATTTATTCAATTGAGGCTTATGTATAAGACACGCGTATTCAAATATTTACTTACTGCATTTCACTTTCGAGTTTAAATTATTTCAGCTGTCAATTTTACATCGAATCTTTATGAATGGAAAACACCCGAATACCATTGTATTATACAGATAAACTTAAGCTTTGCAGTTTCGTAACATGTTGATAAACGAATGGTGAATTCTTCGTTAAGCCGTCGACATTTTAACTAGTTGATGAAAGAACTGACGGCGATCATAATTTAACGATTATTGCAAGTCTCTACAATTAGAGATTTTTGTCGGTAACGTAGTGAGTTCAACTTTCAAGTGAAGGATATTCGGATTTTAGCGATTGCTGAGACTTTTGCGATTTTATAAGGGATTTCAAGGTTATTGTATTAGAAGTTTAATCTAAAGACAATTAAAACGTGATGGCTAAATCATATTTTTCATTAGACTTAACAGTGCTTGATGGCAAATAGAAATAGGCGAAGTCATACGCAGATTAATTGATCGTTTTTATACCTATAATTGCATTGTAAGTTACTTATTTGAATGTACAAATTAAAAATGACCGTATATGTTGTAAATCCACTTTTATTTATTTCAGGCCCGAATCAAAAATTCGTTCCTTATTTTATTCATGGCTTGTGCGTGAACCCACGAAGGTTCTGCCTGCTTTATTGCAGCTTCTGTCTGTAATTTTGATGCAGTTGCCAGGCTCTATAACAAAATAAACCAGATAAATATCAGACTCCCTTTGCCCATATTTATTAGTATCATATTGAGTTTTAATTTATTAATTTCCAATACAAACAAAATTACATTTAATAAAGATTGTGTAAACCATACCTTCATTGATTTCGCATTTGAATCCGCAACGGCGAGAAATTGAGTTGTAACTGAATCATGTTATTCAGCAACACTAGCGTGAGAATTGAGATCTAAAAAATACCGATAAATGTTTATTATATTCATCACAGTAGAAACAACAAACATGATTATGGTACTTACTTCTCTTCCTTCTTGGCTGCACCTCATTTTGTGTATGGAGATTGGAAGCCGTATTGCCAATGTGTGATAGTATTAGTTTAGTCGTATATGTTAAGAGATAAGAAGTGAAAGATCATATACAGCATTATAATAACCAAGCGCAATAAACTCGTTTCTTTATTTCATTTTTATTTTACAAGCTTTTACTTTGTTTTGTTTTAATAGATATAATTTTGTACTTGAACTGCATTATAAATACAGATTTTCGATAAGATATCGTCTGAATAAATTTAATTTTGCTCGGTAACTTGGTAGTAAAAACTTTCATTTGAAGTAACGATCGTTACCGCAAGAGATTATTTTCGTTGACATTCGATACATTGCGATCCTATCGCTATTAATGTCGAGACTGCAGCCCCAGTAAAAGATTAAAATAGAGAAATAACGACTTTATGACCGAGTTTTGTTTTTACGATAATCTTAATTCATTTAAAAAAATTGTTTTTACGTCCAATTCGCCATCCCTTGTCGTTTTGTGTCAGATCTGATGAAGTCCAGTCAAATCGGTGTCCAGTCAGTTGACGCGGCTGATTCCGGCGTGGACACAGTGACGTCACACTCCACACTCAAGACCGGCTCTCGATTGGATGACGCCACCGCCAAGAAAACACTCTCCGTTGTATTCGTCGATCATACGTGAATACTTTTTTTAACTTATTGTGTTCAGAAAATGAAATTCTCCATATTGTGATTATGTTGTGTGCATATTAAGACATTTCATATATTGAATAATTGGTATAATTTTATTCGTTTAAACCAAAAGTTTTTCGCTTGAAAATTCACAAATTTGACTACCTTTTTCGTACCTGAACTAATTTTATTGATAGTTTTTTTTTAAATAATAAGAAAAATGATAATAAATTATGAACTTCATTTCTTTAGAGCTGCACCTTCCGAGTATTTGGAGGTGTTCGTGACGATGGGCGTGATCGATATATCTTTGTACGCTATCGACGACGGCAGTCCCCTTCTAGCATCATTGCGACCGCCCGCCGTTACCGCTGCCGCACCCGCTCCCGCTACCTCACCCGTCCCCAATTCGAATACGCACGTAAAGGTAAGTAGAAAATACAAACTAACGCTTGATAAATTTATAAGCAATTCTTAAAACATATTAATATATTATGCATTCCAAGGAAACACTTGTGAGAATACACATAGCGTTGGTTAAAGATGCGTCTATGTATCTTACCTGTTACATATAAATAAAGTGAACTTACCAAGAAAAATTCAGTGTATTCTCTGTTCACTCATCCAGCACGCATGCTGAATGGTTTGTCCAGAGCCGGTATATAAGGGTATTTTCCGAAATCCATAGACATAAAGCATGTGCATTAACACTGGTGATATTAACAAGTGGATTATGTCAGTGAGTTCATCATTATCAACAGGGGCTCAGGCTTTCCTTATGGATGGTAACAGGAGGATGGATCATGATCCTCCACGATCGCGGATTGGAGGGTACTAACGACTGCAAATGCAGCTGGGACTAATTGCTTAACATGCCTTCCGAAGCATGGAGTAGCTCGAGATCTTCCCATGCCTAACCTTGCGAAATTTGCTTAACACCAACAATCGCGGGCCGCAGCACTTATCCACTACGCCACCGAGCTACCAAGGGTTTTTATTAACTTGTAAATTATCTGCTTAGATTATTTTTGAAGAGAACGACCAAAAAGAGGACGAGGTTTCTTCTGTTGGCAGTCGCACCAAAAGTCTATCGGATACTTTGCGTGCCGGCGGCAACACCTCGAATATGAGGCTACGTTTTGGGGAACACACGGTATGTTTTTTTACGTATCTTAGTATTTAGTTTTTAATATCTATAAGCGTAAATAAAATAAGTTTAAATATATTATCTATGAATTATGTCCTGACCAGATCAAGCAAATTAAAATAAATATTTAAGGGGACTACAAACGTGATGTTTTGCTGTCACCAGGCACATGAATCGGGATAGTTAGACCATTGAGATTTTCATAGAAGAAATATTTCTGTTACCGCAATAACAACAAATACTAAAAAACAGAATAAAATAAATATTTAAGGGGGCTCCCACATAACCAACGTGATTTTTTTTTCTCGATTTTGGTACGGAGCCCTTCGTGCGCAAATCCGACTTTTTGTTAAACTTAAGTAAAGCGATTTTTTGAGATATACAAAAATATATACTGTTATAAACTTTTGACAGAATCTACAGAAATTGAAAAAAGTGGAAGGCAGTGTTCCACTGATTCATATAACTTTGCACCAGCCCAACCTATATTACTGGCGGAGGAAATGCCAGAAAAGTTTTCAGGTGAGCATAATATGTTAATCTTTTATTTTTCCGCGTAAATATTTAAAATAATTCAACAGTAGATTCTTAAAAAAAGTATTGACCATGTTTTACCAACCTAAGTGCTTCTGCTTGAATTGATATAGTTACTTTTTTCTTTTCTAATTTAATCATAAGAATATATCTATATTTAATTCTGTAAATCCATCCATTTGCCGTCTCGCTTACTCTTTACCAACAGGCCAAAGGTAATGTTTACTTAACAATCGCATGCCATTGTGCTATTTACTTAAAGTATAATATTATTAGTGCATCATTGTACTTATAATAATATAACGCTTCAGGTAGATAGTACAATGACAAAATGCAACTAGTTGAGATGCTATTTAGATGCGATTGTTACGTAAACATTAGCAGAATAGGGTATTTGACACTGTTAAAAATAAATTGTGTGTTGTGGTAATTCTGTTAGAATTTGCAGACAAAATATGTCAAACTTTAGTAAAATTAACGTAAAAATATGCAACATTTTTAGGAATTAAATGAACGACGAAAACGCCCTGTAATTAGTTGTCGTTGTCACCAATAACAAGTTATGTTTACCGGCATGTGACGTGACACGTAAACAGGATGCTGGAATGTCAAAACAATATTATTGGAGATACACTAAATTTGTATTTATACATACAATTTGTAGCTCATTTTTATAAAGAAAACCAGAGTAAATACTAACATAAAAATTTACTTCACTTTCTCTTCTGTATTATTATTTGTTTACTTCATAAATAATTAGTCAATAAATAGGTTATGTCGCCTTGACATTTTTACCGGCGTGTGATGTCACAAATCACGTGATCAGCGCCATTGCATAGAGCAGCGTTTTTTGCGCGATTTTGGCTATTTAAACTTTACCAATTAGTTTTATCGAAAATAGAACAGATTCCCATCAAATATATTGACAGTGTGTTTATAACGTTTCAAACAACCATTTAAAATCGTTTTCAGAAAAGTGTCAAATATCCTATTGGCCTTCAGAAACTTTTTCCAGCCGCTCTTATAGGTTATAGGTTACTGTGCCATAATTTTACAATACAATTTATTGTTTCGGATTTCCATAGTATAAATGCTTTATATACTTATAATTTGGGATCCGAGCAATGGATGTGATATTGTCCAATATTGTCGCCCTGTCATCTCATTGTTTATTTTGTACAGGTATCGCTATTTAACGCGTGGGTGGGATTAGGTTGGGGGCAAATGGAAGGGCAATGGAACGTACCGTTGTTGAGTACGGGACGGGGCGCTGCCGACCCCGTCACTGATATACCGCCCGCGCTAGCTACTCTGCGCCTGTCCGAACCAGCATCAGGTGATTATAATACTATATTAGTAGCTCGGTGGCGTAGTGGATAAGCGCCGTGGTCCGCGAATGTTGTTGTTAAGCATCTTTTGCAAGGGTCGGTCACGGGATGAGTAACCAAAAAAATATCTCGAGCTACTCCATTTGCAGTCGTTAATATCCCCTAGTTCGCATTGGGCTAGAGCGAAGGGTCATAGCCGATACTCCTTTATCATCCATAAGGAAGGTCTGAGCCTGCATTGGGGACGTAAAAAGGTTGATGATGATGTTATGCTCCAGGTACTCTGATATTGGACTCGACCCCACGAGCTTTCGCAATCCTTCGGCTGATTGAGTGGATTGCCTGAACGTTGATGATAATACGCTCACTAGTAGCGAAAACTAGTGTTTGAAAAATTCGTCTTCTCTGTTGGGTCCTTGGTAGCCCAGTGGTTAGAGCAGTCGCCCGGATTGCCAATAGTCGCGGTTTTGAGACTCATCTCAGAGTACTTGAGGCTGATGAAATTTTTAAGTATTTTAATTAAGAAGATGAATGAAGTTAAAAATTACGTTAAATTTAATCCAGTAGCTTAAGAATTATTACAAATCAATGTTTCTTGATTTCTTTGATTTGTCATTAACAGATTCGCTGATCATCAAATTTTAATAATATTTCTAACTGACTTACAGTAAATATCCAAATTTTTTTCTTCCATAGAAAGGCAGGTACTGAATTAACTGACTCGGTTTACACTTGATTTCTTAACTTTTTTTGGCAGAAAAATATCTTAAAAAGCGATGATATGTTCATTTTATTTGCAAATAAATGCTTTACATATACATATTATAATCTCGATGTAACGAGGTTTTTTAATCAAGCTCTGACAGAACGACGAAATTACTAGCGTATTCAAACTATTAAAAACAATAACATTTCACCTTAGTCATCTTCCATTACAGTCTGATGTCGATTTTTGCATTCCTATTTTATTTGAAATAAGGTAATAAAACTCGTACAGGTAACTCCCGTAACACAATAAGGTTGGATGTTGAACGGCCCGTTCAACTGGAAGTGTCTACTGATCGTGTTCGTCGCATCAAAGCAATAATGGCGCTGGTGAGTACAATAATTTATATTTCTAATTAGACTGTGCATGAAGATAAAGAAAAAACGAGACCAATTAACACGTCAAGGATAATAATGGACCGATGAAATAGATAATGGCCCGAATAAATCTTAAAAAATCATCTATACGTATTTCTTATGACAGATTCACGATGAACTGCCGCAAAACGATCGGCCTTCCACTACAATAATGGAACAACATTTGCCACTTCTGTATAAAATACGAAGATTATTAGGTAAGTTTTTATTGAGGCGTCTGACTCGCATAAGCGGGTCAGTCGCCATATATAAATATCGAATGGTTTTTTAGAAAGGGGGTCAACGAACTACTTATGAGATGGCAAAAGTGCATAGATAACAATGGTTTATACTTTGATTAAATAAATATATTAAAAAATATTCGAGTTTTTACCAAACACGAATTTCATATGTAAGGACCTTATATTTATAAAACCCAATTTATCGGTTAGTCTAATTTCGGTCAAGCGTGTTATGTTATTAAAAGCAAACGCTCCAAAAAGAATGAAACAATTGCAGTGAATATAGTTGATTGCTGCAGGGTTAAGTTTTTCCTTTCATATCTAAGATAAACTTGGTTGTAGTATAAAATTTCTTATTATCATAGAGGAGGCGTAGATTATTCAACTCGTATAGTTTACACGCTCCGTTTCGCGCATCTTGAGATATTAAACTACGTGGATTCTATACTGTTTACCTATCTGAAGTTATTACAATCGTTCTGTCTACCAGTATATAATTCGGTGGAGAGCTTGACGGTCCATACGAATCAGCTGAGTGTATGCGGTGGGGAAGGCACGTTCGGATGCGACGGTATTTCACTGCAGACGGCAGTTGCCGCGCGTCCGGACCGCTTGAATGTGCGTGCACTTATACACGCGCTGTTAGTGGCGGCCGGACCGCCCGGCGACCGCAGGCACCCGATCGTACTACCCACAGCCTTAGGGTGAGTTGACAACAAAAATTGTTACGAAAATATGTTCTATTTAAAGCCTGATATTTTTTTTGTAATTCTTTTATCTAAGGTGTTTTTATTCTTTTGAACATCTTTTCACGCCATTTTGAATCTAAACTATTTTTATGACGATATTTCACTAAATAATTTTTTATATTAAATTTATAAATAATTTACATATTTTTTGTGCAATGACAGACTTAGATTCTGCTAAAATACTTTGAATCTAAAACATTTAATTTCAATTCTTTCATAAATGATTCCCTCTTGTTTTTGTTTCTAATATGCTCCATCACTCATCTTCAATGTTGAACATCTTCAACTTTATTGCAGGTGGAACGTTTATCTGAGTCAGTCGTTTTCATTAAATATCCAAACTTTGCTGATGGGTAGTGTCCAGAAAGGGGTTTTAAAATCAATGTAATGTAATTTCTACTTAATGTGCCATTATCAAACCAGGTTTCATGAGGAGAAAGCCTGGTTGTAATGCAGTGTTCATTCGCATACTTAATTAATTTACGTTAATTATATGATCATATATAGTACTGATCTTGAATTTAGTATAGAAAAAGAAAACTCGGATAGCATGAATAGATTTGTTTAATTGTAAATAATATTAATCTTACTCTTACGCTTAGGGTGAATATAGAAGCGACATGGGAAACGTGGCGACGTACTGAGGGCGGGTCATCATCATTGGAGCCTACCGTCCATCTGTGTGTGGATGTAGATCAGTTATCTGTTGATCTGCGACCTACCGAGTTGGCCGCACTCACACGACTCAACGAAGCTATCGCTGAAATGATGTCCGATGATAAGGTTATTTCCTATTACTCTCTTAATTCACTTTAACAACATTTCAAGCTCTTTTCAGGCGTGATTTTGAAATGCAACATGATGCAGCGGCGCGCTCACACTCATGCACACGCACGCATGCAGATGCATGCACACATGCAAAACCACATACGCACACACAGACATATTGTTTCATGTTAGATTTTCCTTTTCAAAATAATCTCAACTTTTTTTTTAAAGAAAATACCG